GCAATTTGACATGGCCGGACACAGATGAGGAATCTGAGTGGCAACGCCGGGATGAAATTCACTCAAATCTTCAGAAGCCTCACCCAGTACATCCACTCCCAAACGTCGTCCCAAGCGTCCCAAGCGTCCCAAGCGTCCCAAGCGTCCCAAGCATCCCAAGCATCCCAAGCATCCCTTTTCATTTGACGCCGTTGACGCCCTTCGCCATTCTCCAGGCCCAGCGTCAGTTGAGTCACTCGACTTGCGATGTGATGTCAGGGTGCCGTGATGTTGAGCCAATGACTCCATCAACCAGCGCCTCGACCGCCTCGACCGCCTCGACCGCCTCGACCGCCTCGTGCAGAAGTCTTCGCTCTGATCGCCAGTCCGAGGCAAAGTCAGAAGTTGGTGATCGGCCTCCCGTGGGGATCGAAGCCAAGCCTTTCACACGTGCCAAAGCTGGTCGAAAGACACGTGAAATGCTTCCAGAGAGGAACGACTTGCAGCCCAGAGGCCTGAGCTTAAGCAGTTTCAGCAGCTTGAGGAAAGATGGAGCATCCAACGGATCCAACGGATCCAACGAATCCAACAGATCCCCGAGAGATCTGAAAGGTGCACTTGGTGCACTTCCTGTTGGGCGTGTGGTGAGAGGTGCCTAGGCTCCCAAAGTCCATGGAGCAGAGCTGAGGGAGACATTTGCCGTTGCAGCAGGGATGGAGCCAAAATGAAAGTTGTCAGGGTTGAAATACTGGTAAGTGTACTGTGAGAAAAGAATTGAAAGCAAATCAGACAAGCGTAGACACAAATCCTCCAGATACAAATTGATGGAATAGATTCCCTGAAGGAAGAATTCATATTGTCTTCATCTTTGCGTGCAGGTTGTAGTGACTACTGTATTGCATGCCCCGCACAAAAAATCTGGGCCCGTCCCAGCAATGCACGGAATTTGATGCACGTGGGGCCAGGTTCAATCTTCAGAAGGTTTGCAGGTTCCATGACATTTTGAACAGTTCAATATATACATACATATGATTTCATTTGGGCATTCTCAAGAAGGAAAATCACAGTGTGGACAGGTGAAAGCTGTAATAAAGTTCCTCCAGTGAAGGAAAACGTGTGAAGCCAGACCAAGCCAGATATGAGTCTAGAAACCTTCTGCAGTTTGATGACCCTTGCATGATGTGGCTGAAGATGCAACCTCCTTGGCCAGCCGGAACTTTTTGCTGGTGGACGGTAAGTGACACAAGTGTGCTGTCCTGCGGGTGTGCTTGTCCGTGCCCACGCATTTGCTTGCCTGCCAAAGTTGCGGGATCTCGTTCCATTATGGGGATAGGCATGGAAAGGTGAGAGCCGAGGGCCAGAACAAATCGTGAATTTGCTGCGGTAGCCTGCAAATACTTGATTTGGATGTATTGGATTCCGTAAGATTGCAGAATCCCGGAAGTTTCTAAGTTTGAGTCAGTTCCTTTCGAGCATGAAATGTTCATAAAGCTTGTACAGGATTATTTTTAAGTGTTTCCGTATTGACGCTTTTAAATACAGAAGTTACAGAAGGGATAACTAAGCCAAGTAGAAGCGCACCTCATACGAACACACACATACCTTGGCTTCACCTTTGTGTGCATTCTGTAGTGACTATTGATATTTCTGGGCAGGTCCCAGCAATGCACGGAATTTGATGCACGTGGGGCCAGGTTCAATCTTCAGAAGGTTTGCAGGTTCCATGACATTTTGAACAGTTCAATATATACATACATATGATTTCATTTGGGCATTCTCAAGAAGGAAAATCACAGTGTGGACAGGTGGAAGCTGTAATAAAGTTCCTCCAGTGAAGGAAAACATGTGAAGCCAGACCAAGCCAGATATGAGTCTAGAAACCTTCTGCAGTTTGATGACCCTGGCATGATGTGGCTGAAGATGCAACCCCCTTGGCCAGCCGGAACTTTTTGCTGGTGGACGGTAACTGACACAAGTGTGCTGTCCTGCGGGTGTGCTTGTCCGTGCCCACGCATTTGCTTGCCTGCCAAAGTTGCGGGATCTCGTTCCATTATGGGGATAGGCATGGAGAGGTGAGAGCCGAGGGCCAGAACAAATCGTGAATTTGCTGCGGTAGCCTGCAAATACTTGATTTGGATGTATTGGATTCCGTAAGATTGCAGAATCCCGGAAGTTTCTAAGTTTGAGTCAGTTCCTTTCGAGCATGAAATGTTCATAAAGCTTGTACAGGATTATTTTTAAGTGTTTCCGTATTGACGCTTTTAAATACAGAAGTTACAGAAGGGATAACTAAGCCAAGTAGAAGCGCACCTCATACGAACACACACATACCTTGGCTTCACCTTTGTGTGCATTCTGTAGTGATTATTGATATTTCTGGGCAGGTCCCAGCAATGCACGGATTTTGATGCACGTGGGGCCAGGTTCAATCTTCAGAAGGTTTGCAGGTTCCATGACATTTTGAACAGTTCAATATATACATACATATGATTTCATTTGGGCATTCTCAAGAAGGAAAATCACAGTGTGGACATGTGGAAGCTGTAATAAAGTTCCTCCAGTGAAGGAAAACTTGTGAAGCCAGACCAAGCCAGATATGAGTCTAGAAACCTTCTGCAGTTTGATGACCCTGGCATGATGTGGCTGAAGATGCAACCTCCTTGGCCAGCCGGAACTTTTTGCTGGTGGACGGTCTCTGACACAAGTGTGCTGTCCTGCGGGTGTGCTTGTCCGTGCCCACGCATTTGCTTGCCTGCCAAAGTTGCGGGATCTCGTTCCATTATGGGGATAGGCATGGAGAGGTGAGAGCCGAGGGCCAGAACAAATCGTGAATTTGCTGCGGTAGCCTGCAAATACTTGATTTGGATGTATTGGATTCCGTAAGATTGCAGAATCCCGGAAGTTTCTAAGTTTGAGTCAGTTCCTTTCGAGCATGAAATGTTCATAAAGCTTGTACAGGATTATTTTTAAGTGTTTCCGTATTGACGCTTTTAAATACAGAAGTTACAGAAGGATAACTAAGCCAAGTAGAAGCGCACCTCATACGAACACACACATACCTTGGCTTCACCTTTGTGTGCATTCTGTAGTGATTATTGATATTTCTGGGCAGGTCCCAGCAATGCACGGAATTTGATGCACGTAGGGCCAGGTTCAATCTTCATAAGGTTGCAAGTTCCATGACATTTTGAACAGTTCAATATATACATACATATGATTTCATTTGGGCATTCTCAAAAAGGAACATCACAGTGTGGACAGGTGGAAGCTGTAATAAAGTTCCTCCAGTGAAGGAAAACTTGTGAAGCCAGACCAAGCCAGATATGAGTCTAGAAACCTTCTGCAGTTTGATGACCCTGGCATGATGTGGCTGAAGATGCAACCTCCTTGGCCAGCCGGAACTTTTTGCTGGTGGACGGTAACCGACACAAGTGTGCTGTCCTGCGGGTGTGCTTGTCCGTGGCCACGCATTTGCTTGCCTGCCAAAGTTGCGGGATCTGGTGACGCTATTCTTTAGAGTTTGTTTGCAAAAAAGAAAAGTGAGAGTGGAGGGCTTGAAAAGCTGCAAGTTTGATGAACATGTTTCCTTTGTTGTGATCTTCTTGCGTCAGAAGGCTTGAAACAGGTGGTGTGCAAATGTGTGCAATGTGCAACCAATTGTTTTTGATTGCGCAGATTGGCAGAATCATAGGAATGCATCCGGCTGCAGATTCGTAACTAGTAGGATATTTCTGTGGGCCAAGCTATTTTTTACCCAGCAGGAAGCAACAACTTCGTGAGCTCCGTGAACAAGACAAACGCCGCCAGGAGGAGCGACGCTTGGAAGAAGAGCGCCAGAAACGTCTACGTGAGGCGCATGGGGAGCCGGTGTTGTCGAAGGACTCCAAGGACTCCAAGGACACCAAGGAGCCCAAGGAGAAAAGCGAGAGCCCAAAACCAAAGCCAAAAGCCGAGAAAGCTGAGAAAGCTGAGAAAGCTGAGAAAGCTGAGAAGGCTGAAAGAGCAGAGGTAAAGTCTCCGGAGAAACTTGAGAGAGTTGACGCGGAAAAGCCCAAACAGATGACACAAAGAGACGATGAAAAGCCCAAGAATGAACGTCCAAAGCCACGACGCGATCCAAAAAGGCCAAGACTCCGGGCTCCTGGCTCCTACGTGCTTCCTGTATTTGCCCAGCATGACCGGTCCAATCATGCAGAACGACAAGCACTGATCAAAGTCATTGCTCGTGTACAAGAAGCCTCTGTGCCCAAACAGATGCAGAGTTCGAAGCAGAGTGTGCAGAGGTGACTGGCACCGTGAGGCTTTATGCTTCGCATACTCCATGTATCTCTTGCATGGCGTGTTTTTGCCAGTTTCAACGACTCTTTCCCAAGGTGAAGCTTTGTGTTGATTTTGATGATTGGAGAGATACTCGTAGAATGGTGGAAATGGCTCGGAGGGAAGAAGAGCACAAGAAGAGAGGAACCAGTCCTCCCAATTATGACTGTCCGGGCTTGTCCGACATGTCTGATGAGGAGGAACCAGAGGAACCGCTGGATACACCCGGACAGGCAGTTGCAGCTGCTTGAGAATTTCAGCACCAACGTCGTTTAGAGATGATCAAAATGGACAATGCCAGGTGGTTCCAGATCAAGAGATCGGGAGTGCTTAGTTCGTGAAGTTCTTCCTAAATGATGTTAAATGCGCATACTCACAGAGGCATAAAGTCTTTGAACAACATCTCTGATTCGTTAGAGTCATCCTGTGCCTTTAAGCAGATTTGAAAGCAAATCCGCATGTCCTCATCACGCGCTGGAATGCACAGCCTTTGAAGGCACCACTGTTGGATCAGAATTTTTGGCTGAAGGCGACATGCAGCCAAGTCGATAACAATCCCAAGCAGCACCTCGACAGGACTGCACAGAAATGGTCAAAACAAAGTGACAAGAAATAAGGTAAGCTGCTCATCATTTAGCCAAATAGGATCATCCTTCTACAATTTGCTCAGGTAAACAAAGCAAGATAGTGTCGATAGTGTAGTGTCCTGTTTGCCAGAACTTTTCCAAGATTTGGTTTTATTGAACACCACTTGCTATCAACACAAATGTCGACTGCTTCCGTGTGGGAAATCTCTGAGATGCTGGCTATTCCACAAGGCGCTTTGATGAGGATATTAGAGGGTATGAGAGGTTGAGAGCCCTCAAATTCGTACCCAAAACATGAACATCAGATGAACACATCAGATGAACACATCAGATGAACACATCAGATGAACATCACTTCAAGTTCGTTACATGTTGGCACCACTCAATTGACTCTGATGACCAGCCGAGCATTCCGCTAGGCTAATGACCAGGCCATGGCGCTTAGGACGCTTAGGTGCGTGAAGATCACTAGCACTGCCAATTCTCTTGTGATGTTCTGGATAGAATTTTTGGTCTTATGGTGGTAGACCTGGATATAATCATGCTGCATGATGCTTATTCCATGTTATTCCCTTAAAAAGGAATCCCAATTGCATCCCCATGCACTGGCAGCTTCAGAAATGTTGGAATGCGTCTCTTCATTGTCTCTTCCATGCGACAGTCCTGAATGACTTGATTCACAGGAGCCTTTGCTGCTTTGGTCGTGGTGGCTGTAGCGCAGGAAACGCAGGAAAGGTCTCCTCCGGATTTGGAGGCCCATGCTCATCAACTGAATCCCGTGTTTTCTGCCCTTACAAAGTGGACTATGAATATTTCGATCATGTTGTCGCTTTCTATGCTGGCACCTCAAAGCTTGAAGAGCATAGTTCGACCAGAGAGGTAGGAAGGGTCAATCAAGCTTGACTTTGCATACCTTTGTTCCAAGTCAGCACCAGGGCCTCTTTGAATTTGTTTCTCGTCCGCTGGTGGCGCACTGGCTGTTTGAGACTCAGGTGCAGATGTTGCTGCCCAATTTTTGCAGGGCATGGATTTGCTTTGGACAGGGTCTGTGAACCTCTGGTTTGCAGATTTCATGGGTCATGCACGTCCCAATGAAAAGGGTTGCACATGACTTGCTGTCCTCCAAGCTACACGTTGGTCACATACTTCCTTGGACATCTGCTACGTAGTAGCATGCTTCGATCCCGGATTCAGGTCTGATACGGCGGTGCCACAACTTGCCAAGAAGGACTTCCCATGCATGTGCGGATGCCACAGCTGGAAGAGATACACCGTGCCCAGAAACAAGCATAGTCAGCATAGTGCCATTAGTTGGTCGCTAGGATTCAACCATTGAGTGCAGAAGCACATCCCTGGCACTCTCTGGAGTAAATTCCCTGCTGAGGAAGCTTATGATCTTGCTCGATTGGGCCAGTAGCTCAACACCTGCAGGGCTTTGGGCGGAAGAAGGGGCTGCGGATGAATCGATATGAACTATGGAAACGTCTCAGCAAAACAGAACATGTTCAGAGTAATTACATACTTTGGCAATGCTATTTTGCAGAACAGAATCCAACTTTGTGCTGTCCCTGTTTCGATGTAGTATCAAGTCCAACAGATCGATCCGCTTCTTTGCGCGCACTTCTGGACGGACACAGAAGGAGCAACAGTTGAGCGGGCAAAGATGGGCTAAGGTTGCGCAGAAGTACCACAGTTCTTTTGCGCAAAGCAAGGCAGAGCTGAACTTGTGGAAGGACACCGAGTCTGGCAACATCGATGGACAGCTGGATCAAGTTTCTAGCAACGTTTACTAAGTTGCGGCTGATACGTCCAAAGAACAGACGCATTCATTGAGAGAGATTTTTTTTGCAGTGACGACAGAGGAGATAGTATCCAAGTGCAACTGATTTGATTTGTGGTTCGCGCATCGTTTGGGGTCGTTGGCATGTTGTTGAAGTGTCAGACCCAATCGTGCCCATTGTCTACAACTCTTACGACCGGTAATCTGAGTGTGCCCAGCGAAACTTTGCTGAAAAGGTATTCATGACAGAAGTGCTTTTGGCCCAAAAACAGAGCCCCGGGTTCCGGGTGAGTCTCAAGCAGTGACTCAAATTGTGAAATGCCAAACGGTGCTTCAAATTAAGTATGCTTCTTGGGCTTTTGTATCCCTGCAGTGGTTTCGAGGGTTGCGGCTTAGATGCCGTAAGCAGTGCTTTCAAGTTTCTGCTAACAGAAAAGGAGAGAGACATTTCAGTAGCTATGTGAGCATGGAATTGGAGAAAGGAACATCCATTTACCAGCTATTTTACCAGATTTTGGTGTGAAAATCACCAGAAATCTCGCCCAAGCCGGGCATTGTCGCCACCGCCAACAGATAGCGATGGCGGCCAAGCGAGCTGTGGGGAGGAAAGCGGATGATTCTTGGGCCTGCCATCAATCCGTGGGGGCCTGGAACTAACTGAACCAACTGCTTTGTGGTTTGGTGGTTAATTGTTGAACTTTCTCAATGACATACTTCAACAAAGGAGGTATCGCATCTGTACTATCCATATTTTGTGTCTATCTATCCAGTCTATCCAATCCTAGAATTTGTTTTCTGTTTCAAGTATCTTCAAACTGCTATGCGCAAAAATCTGATGATCCTCAACGACTATCCAGTGGTTTTCAGAGATTGAAACTGCCGGCCAGATTTTGTTCATATGGGATGGGTTAACATCTTCAATTATCCAGCCGGAGTTGCAAGAAACCATGGGTTTTGACCAGGTCTGCAGGTCTGGTGCACTGGTGCACACTGGACAATCCACATCTTTCATAGGAAGATTATCCCAAAACACCGGGTTCCGGCCAGGTTTGAGAATCCCACCTCAATGGTTGTAACACTTACGTGATCATCCTAGTTACTTAGTTGGAAAGTGGTAGATAATCCATGATAATCTATGATCATCCATGATCATCCTAGTTCCTAAAGTTCCCAAAGTTCCCAAAGTTCCTAAGTCCCATTTCGTGATTTTCATGGGCTTATTCCATACACAGAGCTATCCACTTTCTCCGTGGGATCGTCCGGCCACTCCCAAGGATGTTCAGACATCCGACAGTGGCTTGGCACACTGGACTCGTTGCAGCATGTTTACCCTGTTTACCCTTGTTAGGGTGCTGGGATGGTTGGGCATGGGAAATGGCAAATGGATGCATTTTCAGTGCGGATGGAACATTTTAATACAGTTTACCAGTTTACCTGAGTTTACCTATTCTAACATTCTAACAGAACTTCTTTTCATGGCATCCTTTTCGTTCGGAGTCGAGGGTCGTGGAAAGGTCATGGAACTTGGGATGCATCAGCCAGACCTTTTCTGCGATGCCCCATATGAATCCAAAGAGACTCCGAAAAGCCTGACATATTTTGTGAAAATGTGATAGACTTTACATTTTACATCATTGTACATTTTGTGTCTAAGATCGCTTTGCACTGTTCTCTTCAGCTCAGGTGCGTGGAAGACAGTTCGAAGCTTCACATATCAAGAGCACTTGGAATGCTTAGCTCCACCGCTGGGTGACTGCCAAACAGTTCCCAGCAATTGGCCTCAAGGGCTGGGTCTGGAAGTCTCAAAGCAGCCACGCGTGCCCTGGCTCCCACCAGGTTGGGGGCAAGCCTGCAGAAGCGGCTGGAGACCCACTATCTATATATCTCCAGAGGAGATGGGATCCAGAGCCCTTTACAACAGAGCCAGTGTGGAGCGTGCACTGGGCAACTTGGGTGCTGAAGGTAACTTTGGTACTTTTATCCCTTGAAAAATGATCCATCTACAAGCTTTTCAAGGGAATTGGCTGCCAACTTGATATGTTTTGAGCTTTGTCCAATCAAAACAACTCTAAGGGAAAAGGTTGAAACCTGTAGATCAACACGGTGTGGTCCTCGGCGATGCGTTCATCAAACTCTGGCCGAAGTGGCTCGCGAAAGATTGGCGCATCGCCTACAAGAAATCCGCGAACGGCTCGGTGAGACCTTTCTTCTTGGGGCCTGATGACACAGTGTACAAAGATAAGAAATCTGTGCTGGCATGCACCAAGAAGATCGTCAAGCAGAGAAGAGCTCGACACCTGGATCTATGAGATTTTTGTTTGAGATGATTGCTTTTCAAAGTTGCCAAAATAAGTAAATAAGGTAAGAAAGTGGTACATTGGACTCACATAGTCTGGAAAACAGTTTTTTTTTTTACTAGGTAATTACCAGGTAATACTTGATGGTTTGCTAAGCCAGTTTATAGGAAAGTTGATGAAAGTTGTTAACTGGGCACGGGGCTACCACTGGAGAGACTGCACCAAGGCCTGGGGACGCGGAAATCAAGGCCCGATGTGGAATTCCGCAATGATGTCGAGTGCTTTCGAACTTTCACCAGAAAGCAACTCGAAGAACCTGGCCTTTGTTCTCAACGATTTTCTTTTTGGGTGATTTTGGGTGTTTTGTGTCTGGATTTTTCAGCAAATTCAATTGTTTCGTCCCTGCGATGACCATGCCAATTGACTTTCTAGTGCCTGTAGCCTGGGCAGCTCAACCAGCAGTCTTTGGACTTTCCCTCTGAAAAGATGCAAGAAAATGACCCAAAAGCAGTTTAAATAGATCAAATATGTTTAAATACATGTCTCATTTCTTTCAGGTGAATGGCCCCAGAACCATCCAGAACTTAGGAATGCTTCGCACCACCCTTGGGTGGAAGTCGCAAACCACCGAGACATTGGCCAAAGGGTTTGTTGGTCACGAATCTGCCACGTACCAGTTGGTTGCCAAAAGGCTGGACGCAAGGTTACAGACCTTACAAAGAGAAGGGGAGGCGTTTCCGCAAATTGTATCTGGCGGGATTTCAATTGAGTTGTATTTGTGTGTTTCATTTTCCTCCCAGAAGATTGGAGATGACGATCCCAGCATGTTTCGTTTTGGTTTCAAGTGGCTCAAAGACAAGGTATGTGGCGCCACCAGAGAAGGGATCCAAAGTGGTTTTCCACCGACGCGATGTGGAAAAGGTGGAGGGGAGAAGTCTCTGCTCTGTGGATCAACATGGTCAGCCATTGGGAATACCAAATACCTTTACCACTGACTGGCCGAAGTGGTTGCCAAGTCGTTGGCGGATTGGCTATTTTAGAACAGGAGAGACAGTTAAGGTTTGCTTTCTCAATGCAAATGGTGCGAAATTTCCAGACCGCCGGGCTGTTCTTGATTCGTTGAATCCAGCCCGCATCAAGCAAAGAGAGAAACAGGTGAAAGCAGCCGAAAAGAAAGAGACAGAAAATAAACCCATCAAGACACTGGGTCTGTTCGCAATGCGCATGGCTCAACGACGTCGACTCGTTTCTTCGGTGAAGGTTGAGGGTGACGAGAGTGATGATGAACTGCCTGAATCCACCGATATTTTCCTATCTTTTACACATGAAGAACTCACAGAGTGTTTCGCTCCGCCGCTGGGCGACAGCACAACACCTCCAGCCCATTGGCCTGAAGGTGTGGAAGTGTGCACGTTGCCACGCATTTCCTGGCTGCCACCGGGCTGGGGGCAAGGGATACGAATGGGGCCGCAAGGCCGAAAATACAAAGTCTACATAGCACCGAAAGGTCACAGACGTTTAGAGGTCAAGAACAAGGAAAGCATGGACACTTGGATTTGAAGTGGGGTCAGAATTTTATGGATTTTTCCCCTTCGGTGCCACTCCCTACTTATGTACAAGGTACGAAACAATTCCAGTTTTGGTCGCAATTGTGATCAGTTTTCACGGCACGACAGTTTCTTCACACTTTCCGGATCCTCAATTTATTTGGAGTCCTTTACTAAGTACCCCGCTTTTTCATCCTTTTCGATGTCTTTTGTGTTCTTTCATGGCATTGGTTTTGTATTTAAGGGAACAGTTGCAGTAAAAACCTAGATTTGATAGTCCTCAAAACCCACAGTTTCCCATGATTTTCCCTGGACAACGCCATTGAATCATAGGAAGTCAACGTGGGACGCAGATTGAAACCCTTGGATCAGCACGGCAAAAACCTGCGGGTGGGCAATGCGCTCATTGAACATTGGCCAAATGAACTGCCACGGACATGGCAAATCGGCTACCACAAACTCCAAGGCTGGAGACTATCCGAAGACCTTCGGTACACTAACGAAGATACCAAAATTCCTGAAAATCCACCACTTGGTGAAACGCGAACTTTTCAGAACTTTCCATATCTATGTTAGTTTGCTACAGGGTAGGTCGGAAAATGTTGGGAAGCTCCAACATTATCAATTTGAGAAAATCATGTTCCCTGTTCTTGAATGGCCATGAATTGGGAAAGCACTCTCTTTTGTTCGACAAAGCCACCGGAGAAACATGGAACAGATATGAAAAGATCAAGGACCTAATGACATTGTTGAGAGTTTCGATGGGGAGAAACAGGATTCCAATCAAATTCAGATAGCAACTTTGGAAGCACAAAATGAAAGGCAGGCTGGGTTGACCCTGTCGGTAGACTTCAGCAGTTTCTTGCCGCAGGCGAAGTTCGGTCTTGCTTCATCAGCTCCAAGGGTACAATATACAAAGACATGCTGGCAGTTTGCAGACATTTGAACATGGAGGCTCAGGGCTTCAAAACGGTGAGTTTGCAACCATTAAAAGGAAGTCTTTTGGCCAAAGATAGCTGTTTTTTTTTTTTCAGAACTGGCCTCTCCAAAGGGATCGAACACGTGAATCTTCCCGTTTTGCTGCCGTAATTTGCTTGTCGTTGTGCGGATAGTAGACCGTCCCAAGTTGAGATGTGATACCCGTATATTGCATAAATGTTGGTAGGAAGTTTTATCCACATTTCTTGTTGTTTGAAGCGACTCCAAGAAGTCTTCGGGAATCTCCTTTCCGTGCACGTCGTCACGTTGTCACGTCCGTGCAGGCCTGGACGGAGCGACGGATTGAGAAAGTCAACCAGCAAGAAGAAGAGAGGCTCAGCAAGTGCAAGCGCTTGCGAAGAATGGACGCCACAAAGGTTGAGCCGCTGGAAGATGAGGACTGAGAACTGTGGATTCTGACAGTTTCTTTTCCCTAATTTCTTTTCAATTGTTGGAATAAATCTTAAAGTCTTAAAATATCGTAAGATGGGATGATTGAGATTATGATCCCCAGGCAGTGGAAGATGCTGCCGGTGGACCAGTTTCCTGTGTGCAAGATGATCGCATGGCCGAAGAAAGTGCCAAAGAGGCAGCACGCCCCAAGAAGCGCCTGCGAACGGCTGAGGGCCGGGTGCAGGAACGCAAACCTCGGCCAATGCGCCAGTTAGAAAGCAAAAGTGGCTTGGATTTGTCCAAGCTTCATGTAGCAGATGGTGAATGGCTTAGGAATCATCCTTTGTATTTTAAGATGCATCAGCGAAATTATCCCATACCAATTGGTGATCAAGACATTTTGGCTTTGAAAGCCTTTACTCCCAAAGAGATGGGAGGCGATGCTTGCCTAGAATTCCACTGAGACTCCTGATCTCACGCTTCGAACAAAATCAGAGGTGCCACATCACTGTAGTGCTAGGTCGTGCTATGTCATGCTTTGAAAAGTACCACTTTCATTTCGACGAAAGTCTCGGCAGAATTGTGTGTTGTCAGGACATTTTGGTTGGTATCGGGTTTGAAGGCGAGATTTGGGGAGGGTGTTACATCATCCAAACAGGACGGAGAGGGTAGTTGAGATGTCCAAGTTGAACCAAATGCAACTTTCACTGGCAGCATGCCTGAAGCAACATTGAACACTAAAGCATTCATATCCAGAGTGTCATGTAGCAATTGTTGAATGGACATGTCACGATGAAAGTCAAAGGATGGAGCTTTCATTCGATGTTTTTGGTGATTGGGGCATTGACGTCATTGACCACAGCCTGCTGTTGGGGTTTTTGGGAGGCCAGACTCCGGAAGATTGGTTTAGCTCTTCCAATTACTACGCTCTCTTGCAGCCTGTGATTGAGATGCAAAGGCTGGGAAAAACTGGGAAACACACCCAGAGGATCCCATTTGGGTGCTTTGTTGTGCAAGTGAGCTGATGAACGGGAATGGGATGTTCCGAATGTCCATATTTGAGAGTCACAATCTGTTTTTGCATGTCGACTACAGCACCAACCTTCCACGTGTTCACTTGCACCTTGACGTCATTCGTTCAGGACAACTCAACAAGTGATGGAGTTTCTGCACGTGTTGGTCATGGTTCATGGAGAAAGGCTGAGCTTCGACGTTTTTCCCGTGACTGAATGTGTGTGTGGTGGGAGAACCAGGGACAAGGCAGTCGACTCTACAACTACTGGTTGCAATGGGATGTTGCACGAGCAAACAACACTCGGGGTTCAAGACATCCTTGACCCTGAAATGGCAATATAAAGCAATTACATTTTGTAAGCAGCATCAAAACTGTTCTGAATGCCATGGTTGTTTCAATGTCCAAAATGTTCTCACTACCCTTCTTCCATCAACTTCCCAACAAGTTGGCCACAATGCCCTGCCACGGGCCTTGTAAGGCACTATTCGTGTCGTTGCTTGCAGGTGCTTGTATCCTGACCTGCGAAATAATTTGGGTCCCAGACTCAGGACGACCCCCAAAGGCGACACAACCGGTGGCCGATGTTCGCTGAGGTTATGCTGTGACCTGGGCAGCGAAACTCTCAGAGGAGGTTGGATCTTTTGGGCCGAGCAAAGGCAGAAAATCAATTCACCAAAAGGGCTCAGTAAATGTTTGCGACATATGTTTTTTTTTTCCAGTTGTTTCCATATGTTTCCTACTTTACTCCGCAAACACTGTTGCATAAATAGCATAATATACATCAGTCACTAGTCATGATGATCAACCATATAAAATAGTGACACGAGTAATGATATCAAGTTTGGGGAAAGGACACATGAAAAAATGTCCTAACTCAGAATGCGTCCTCCAGGTAGTTTGCAGGAGACCAGGAGAATGCTACAAGCATCTCCACTGGTGAAGGTTTGGATGACACCATGTCAACCCCGGATGGTTCAATCCTTATGAGTTGTTTTAATCCTAAGAAATAATGTGTCTTGTCCTATTTTTATCCTATTTTATCCTATTTTTGGGATCCAGTTGAAGCCCAAGTTATTTTGACCCACAGCCATGTGACAGTTGACACTGCTTGACGCTTGAGACAGGTCCATAAGATACAGCTCTCGGCAGTTTATCACTCGCGGATGTCGCTCTTTGAGGCTGGGCGCAGGGAGTTTTTGGGTTTGCCGATGGGCCAGGTTTTTTCTCAATATTTCTGCTAGTTTTAAAACCAAACAACCAAACCAGTTGGATTTTTGATTAGACTTTGGAGTTGATTACGAAGGATGAGAAGCACGCGTCCTGGGGATGCCAATTAAATCCTTTTTGAAGATGCTTGAGCAACCGTGAACTACCTGCGTCACATGGGATTCGACACGTCGGCGGGGATTTGCAATTTTGTCAGACCTCTACTGATGTGCTGCGCCATTTGCTTCCGACGTGGGCTGCTGAGAGCTATCCTGTAAAAGGATCCAATAGCTAGACTGACATCCACCAGCGAAGACTGTCGATTTCATGGCCTGTCACAAACTTTGGCGATTCGGCATATTTCGGCATCATAGGAAGTTCTTGGGCCTTTCTTTTTGTACTGTTGAATCTTGGCGAGAAACAGTGGAGCAAAAGATTCATGCACAGCAGCTGAGCTGAGCAGCTGAGCAGCTGAGGATAGATGTCCTGACTGCTGCTGCGCAGTTTGCAGATGCCTTTGCCGAGGCTGGGTCGCAGCTGGTGATTTGTGCATGACCTCTGCAAGGCGTCAACGGTGATGGGGCGGCTTCCTCACGAGTTGGGTTTCACATTAAGGATTTGTGTCTTTAGCAATGATGAAGGTTTCACCAACCTCAAGAGAAGTGGGATTGTTCTTCCTTGCGAATATATTCTCTGCCCAGGAAAGTTTTGGAATTAACATCTTCAGTTCCACGGAATTGTGCCTGGACTTGTAATATTGAGGTTCAACTTTTTTCTTCTGTGTTTCTCTGCTTTTCTGTAGCCTTGAGGTGAGACTGACGCTGGACAAGCTCGCATCGACACACCCAGGATCTCTGGAACTCGTGTCAGTGAAACCCAGTGAAACCCAGTGGAAGCCAGTGGAAGCATCGCGCACAGGATAACTTGGCCAGTCATTTTGGTGGCATGACATCAACTAGCCTGGAAAGTACGAAAAGGCTTTGATACCTTTGGCCAAGCGGCCAAAGTGTTTTGAAGGATTTTGCTTCAGAATTTTGACCTTTGGGAAACATCAACGACATCAACTGGACAAATCAATCTTTCATCCACCTTTTGGGTTTTCCATGGTGCATCTCAGTGGTTTAGCTCATTGCCTTGGATCTAAGGTTGCCAGAGGCGTCTCCTTCGCCCTACCAGGATGGAGCTTCAGATATCCTTTGCTCCATTGATATGGCCATCACTTGAGGAATTACTTGAGGAGATGAGCTATAACACAACTTCCCCTTGATAAGTTACAGAGGAGGCTGGCTTCCAGTGTCCGCTATAGCCACTTTCGTGATAGTTTCATAGGTGCGGTTTGTCTTTTCTCTGTTGGTGCCCTAAATGCATCCTTTCTTTTCTTTTTTCTGATTTTGGGTGGTTCTCTATGCCCTCTTGATCCTTCTTGCAAAATCTGCTTGGTGATCTAGGTGTAGGTGTATTTGTTGCAGGAGTAGATCCAGTAGATCCAAACATCGTCAAACACCGTCAAAGTGATCCATGTTGATGGGTGCTCATGGGCAAAGCTGCAGGATGGGGGAGGTGCCTTCATGGACATGACCTTCATTGCCGCTGCCGACCTGTTTCCACTTGGCACATCTTGGCACTCCATACCGGCACGGTCTGACCTGGTTGACCAGTTCAGCTTCGTGACAGGTTCGAAACCTGACGAATGGTTGGCACTTGGACCATGCCTTGTTGGCTTCTCTGGTGCGCCTGTGGCCACCTCCAGCAAGCCATGGCGATGGTTGTCACACCAGCGTTGCGGATTTCGGCGCTGGGGGTCCCTTGGTCGGCTGTTAGGTCGGCTGTTAGACAGGGAAGCTGGTGAAAAGAAGCAGGTCGACAGGGCCCAGGGGGTTAGAGCGGTTAGAGGTGTTTCTCTCAATTTCTCTTGTTGTTGGAATATACAATTTTTCATTATGTCGTCCTGTTAAACGCTGTTAGATCCACTTCTTAATCCTGTGCTCAGGTGGGCACTATTGTAAGTTCTTCAACAAGACGGGCGAGCTGGATGCTGAGTTTGGGAAGTGACTGCACAACGCTGTGAATGCAACCATACACGTTTGCTTATTCTTACATTTTTTTCTTCAATATTGTCATGTCATATTGCAGTGCTCACAGTGTCACTTGATAGCAGGCACCCGGCCAAGAAATGCTTGCGAACATAGTTGCAATTGCCTATCCAGGTTCCATCAAGGGATCGTTGATTGAATACTGGCAGAGCTTCATTGGAACTATTGCTGGACTGAGTTATTGCTGCTCAGCTTTCGATGGATCTCCAAAAGCTGCTCTGTACACTGGTGGTGCCGTTTGGAACCCCCAGCACAGCAGTGGGCCATGTAGAGATGGGAAGATGATATTGCATGATATTGCCCAGAAACATGACATCCAAAAACATGATTAAGTCTTGAAAAGTCACTATCGACTGATTCGCGAAGTATTGAGCTGCAACACTAACACTGATGCAACCAGGTGCAAACACAAAGACTCGATGAGTACTTTGACCTCGGCAGGCAAAGCTGAAGGGATGGAAGAACAGTGTTAGGTCTGAAATATGAGCAGTAGATTCTTGAATTCTTTGTGACTTCCTTGTGATTGCCCACAAGCCCTTGTCATTTCAGGAAATGATTCCGTACCACTCTGGACTGCTGTGATTAAACGGATTCCTCCACCTTTCCAGGCGCTTCGACTGGCTTCTGTGCCTTGAGGAGGGCATGCGATGTCCAGGGTTAGTGGATTCAAGTGAAAGATCAAATCATGCTGGCCAAACTATTTACGGCCTTTGAAAACCTCTGCTTCCAACCTTGTGAGAAAAAACAGCATCAAAAAGTCAAAAAGTGTCTTAATGATACAGATGAGCGATGAAGGTCTTGGAGCACATCCCCGAGGCCAAGGAGGCCGACCAGCCAAGCCCGCAGAAAGCTGTTTTTAATCGTGGGAAATGCAACAGTCAGATCAGGCAAGTTGGAGGCTTTAGGGGCTGTAGGTTGCCGACATACAGGGGTAGGTTCGGCCCAAAACAGGCAAGTTGGAGGCTTTAGGGGCTGTAGGTTGCCGACATACAGGGGTAGGTTCGGCCCAAAACAGGCAAGTTGGAGGCTTTAGGGGCTGTAGGTTGCCGACATACAGGGGTAGGTTCGGCCCAAAACAGGCAAGTTGGAGGCTTTAGGGGCTGCATACAGGGGTAGGTTCGGCCCAAAACAGGCAAGTTGGAGGCTTTAGGGGCTGTAGGTTGCTGACATACAGGGGTAGGTTCGGCCCAAAACAGGCAAGTAAGAGGAGGCTTTAGGGGCTGTAGGTTGCCGACATACAGGGGTAGGTTCGGCCCAAAACAGGCAAGTTGGAGGCTTTAGGGGCTGTAGGTTGCCGACATACAGGGGTAGGTTCGGCCCAAAACAGGCAAGTTGGAGGCTTTAGGGGCTGTAGGTTGCCGACATACAGGGGTAGGTTCGGCCCAAAACAGGCAAGTTGGAGGCTTTAGGGGCTGTAGGTTGCCGACATACAGGGGTAGGTTCGGCCCAAAACAGTTGCAAGTTGGAGGCTTTAGGCTTTAGGGGCTGTAGGTTGCCGACATACAGGGGTAGGTTCGGCCCAAAACAGGCAAGTTGGAGGCTTTAGGGGCTGTAGGTTGCCGACATACAGGGTAGGTTCGGCCCAAAACAGGCAAGTTGGAGGCTTTAGGGGCTGTAGGTTGCCGACATACAGGGGTAGGTTCGGCCCAAAACAGGCAAGTTGGAGGCTTTAGGGGCTGTAGGTTGCCGACATACAGGGGTAGGTTCGGCCCAAAACAGGCAAGTTGGAGGCTTTAGGGGCTGTAGGTTGCTAACATACAGGAGTAAGTTCGGCCCAAACCAGGCAAGTTGGAGGCTTTAAGGGCTGTAGGTTGCCGACATACAGGGGTAGGTTCGGCCCAAAACAGGCAAGTTGGAGGCTTTAGGGGCTGTAGGTTGCCGACATACAGGGGTAGGTTCGGCCCAACAGGGGTAGGTTCAAAACAGGCAAGTTGGAGGCTTTAGGGGCTGTAGGTTGCCGACATACAGGGGTAGGTTCGGCCCAAAACAGGCAAGTTGGAGGCTTTAGGGGCTGTAGGTTGGTAACATACAGGAGTAAGTTCGGCCCAAACCAGGCAAGTTCGAGGGGGCTGTAGGTTGCCGACATACAGGGGTAGGTTCGGCCCAAAAAAGGCAAGTTGGAGGCTTTAGGGGCTGTAGGTCGCTAACATACAGGGGTAGGTTCGGCCCAAACCAGGCAAGTTGGAGGGGGCTGTAGGTTGCCAACATACAGAGGTAGGTTCGGCCCAAAACAGGCAAGTTGGAGGCTTTAGGGGCTGTAGGTTGCCGACATACAGGGGTAGGTTCGGCCCAAAACAGGCAAGTTGGAGGCTTTAGGGGCTGTAGGTGCCGACATACAGGGGTAGGTTCGGCCCAAAACAGGCAAGTTGGAGGCTTTAGGGGCTGTAGGTTGCCGACATACAGGGGTAGGTTCGGCCCAAAACAGGCAAGTTGGAGGCTTTAGGGGCTGTAGGTTGCCGACATACAGGGGTAGGCTCGGCCCAAAACAGGCAAGTTGGAGGCTTTAGGGGCTGTAGGTTGCCGACATACAGGGGTATGTTTAGGTTCGGCCCAAAACAGGCAAGTTGGAGGCTTTAGGGGCTGTAGGTTGCCGACATACAGGGGTAGGTTCGGCCCAAAACAGGCAAGTTGGAGGCTTTAGGGGCTGTAGGTTGCCGACATACAGGGGTAGGCTCGGCCCAAAACAGGCAAGTTGGAGGCTTTAGGGGCTGTAGGTTGCCGACATACAGGGGTGGCAAGTTGGAGGCTTTAGGGGCTGTAGGTTGCCGACATGCAAGGGTAGGTTCGGCCCAAAACAGGCAAGTTGGAGGTTTTGGGGGCTGTAGGTTGCCGACATACAGGTGTAAGTTTGGGCCCAAACAGGGAAGTTGGAAGCTTTGGGGGCTGTAGGTTGCCAACATACAGGGGTAAGTTCGGGGGCTGTAGGTTCTAGAAACAGGAGGCTTTGGGGGCTGGGTTGCCAACATGGGTAAGTGCCGCCCAATACAAGCAAGTTGGAGGTTTTGGGGGCTGTTGGTTGATATGAGGAAGCGACAAAATTAGCGGAAAACTAAAGTACTAGGGAGTGGACTTGGGATGTTCTGTGTAAAAATCGTCACAACCGATAGGGGACCACCCACTTACCGATACCATATTCTTACACATAGCATGGAAGTACTAACCTTCACAACCGATAGAACACCACCCACTTTGGCCATGTCCATTGCGAGTAGCAAGTAATTTTGTCCACCGCTCATATTGGGGTAAGTTCGGCCCAAAACAGGCAAGTTGGATTGCTTTGGGGGTTGTAGGTGGTCGATATAACGGGGTGAGTTCGGCGCAAAACAGGCAAGTTGGAGGCTTTGCGGGTTGTAGGTTTCCATCATAAATGGTTGAGATGGGCCCAGAAGGGGCAAGTTAGAGGCTTTGCGGGCTGTAGGTTGCCAACATACAGGGGTCAGTCGATGGAGGATTGCAGCTTTCAGCAGCATTACCCAAGTCCTCTCGTTTATGCGGCAAGTTGGAGGCTTTGGGGGGTAAGTAGGCAAGTTGGAGGCAAGTTGGAGGCAAGTTGGAGGCAAGTTGGAGGCTTGGAAGGGATGTAGGTTTCCTAAGTTACATTCTTTTGCACCTCTGATGCAGGTGGTGGCACTGGCAAATCTCCGGCGCCACGCTTCCAAAGGCTTGGTGTTATCATGGCCTGGGATCCCATCGACCATGCACCGTGGTCAGGGGTTTTGCAGCAAATCTGGGTTTCTCTCAGTCCGAGGTCTGAGCATGGCGGGCCAGGCCATCCAAATGCGAAGTCCGTGCCTGAGGAAGTCGTTGATTCTGGCTGACCTGCTTTGTCAGATCTTTTGAAACGAGTTCTGCATCACAAGCAACATTGAGATCAGGTTGACTCAGATCTTGTTGGGTCCCCTGTACTTTCATGCCACTGTTCATTTTGCATTGGTGAGAGGCCATGGAGCCAGGTGCACCAGCTTGTCAAGGCCTGTTGTCATCTTGTCATTTGTTAGCTGCGGTGTTTCCCAAAAAAACAAATTTCTGTATATCCGGGTTCAATTCGTTACTTTGTACGGTAGTCTCGATGACGTCATTTCCTTCGCCTACTTTGGCCGTTTGCCCATTTCATCCAACTTTTAGCAAGAACCAAGCTGGTTAGACAAGATCTTTCTTTGGCTGCTGAAGTGACCAAAAAGCCCAAGACAGCTCTCCTTGCTTTTGAAATGATCATCGTTGCATCTTGAACCCAACAACTTGGTGATGGAGTTCCCTGCTGTTCCTTCATTGTCCATCATTGTCCCATCATTAAAGGGGACAACAGCTTTTTCCTCCTGATATTCGCCGACGTTTCTGAAAACCGGTGAAGGAGAGCGGCTTCCAGATGGACCTGGACGCCACCAAGACCATCAGGACACAGGCAGGTAATGGTAATGGTGGCAGGGGCTCACCATCTGGGGCAAAAAGCTGGAGCTTCATATTTTTGGTCGAACCAGACTAAGCAGACTACATTTCTTCAGGCTATATTTCTTCAGTTGGTGAAGAAATGAGATGACTATATGGAATGCATATGAATGCGTACGAAGCCGATTGTTTGCCCATTGGCCCATTTGCATCCATTTGCCAGCCAGTCAGCAACTAATTCCTGGAAAAACCTCCAGCAACAGTGGGGCCCAGGTGTCAGAGACCATGGTTTCCAGTAGCACTCCAAGCCAAAGAAGTTGTCATTTGAATTTCTTCTCAATTCCTGGTGCAGGTGCCTTGGCTCAAAGGTGCGGTCCATGTCTTCAGAGCGGTGTGACCTCAGCGCGAGAAAAGGTAACCGACAAGGGGTGGGTTTAAGAAAGACGAGACTGAATGCAGTTATCTCCAGGAACTCACTTCAATACCAAAACCTCAGTGACAGAAACTTGTTTGAAGTCCATTGAATCAACCTGCTTCTATAGCCTGAAGCAAAGCGAGCTTAGCTCACCAGTTTTGTACGGTTGTCTTTGGAATATCATCACAAAGACGCTTTACCATGCCTTGTTTTGAACATCTTAAGCTGCCTCATTATCACCCTGCCTCATTGTAGCCATCCTACAACAGGCTGGCACGGAGTCGAAGTATCCGGGGCCGATTGTCCTGGAAACAAAGCTTGGTATGTCTTTGGCAAGCCTCACTTTGCTGCCTTAAGCCGACTTACCGGGAATAAGAGTCCAGCAACAGAGCAAGGAAGCGAGCCTGAACCATTAGCATTCCTGGTAGTTCTAATTGCGCAGTTTGAAACAATCATTGGTGAATAGGATCCCCATCGACTCGAGAAAAACTATATGCTTGGCTCATTTACCAGAGCAATTTACGACCAGAAGTCACCGCTGGATTCCTCTGGACTCACTGCAGCAAACACCGTGTTTGAGCCTTTAGACTTGCGATTTGATTGCAACTATATACTTGCAAATGTTGGCTAACTATTCGGTCCCCTAGCCAAATCAAGCTGAACAAGCCTCCAAGTTCCAAAGTTTAACGATAACTTCACAAGTGACATTTGATCAGCATCGCAGTGGTTCAGCCAAAATGTTCCACCTGAATGCATGTCCCTGAATGTTTTGATTGTTGGCAACTCTGCCAAGCCATGCGATGATACTCCGCTGGGAATCGTCGGTGCGATGGTCCTTGCATCGGCAAAGTCACACATCCATTTGATGAGGGACATACCGAAGATGAAGCGTCTGAACTCTTGACGAATCGAAAAAAGACACAATGGAAACCCTCAATGGAAGCTTAGTTGCATTTAGAAGAGAGAACTCCAACTCTGGCAATCTCTGGCAAGCTTGAATTCCCCACTCAACCCATTTCTTGACCTTTCCTATCTTTCCTGCTGTATCAGGATGGTTTGAGCTAATATGCATGGGAGGTGCAGAACCAGAATCGGAGTCTGACACATTCATCCGCGCTGGAACTGCCCGCACTGCAGCCACTCCATTTGATCTCTCCAGTGCAAGTTCCACTGGGAGCTCTGGGAGCGACATTGAGGATACTGCGCCTGGAGATTTTCCAGCACCACAAGAGGCCTGATCCCGACCAAAAATTGGAGGTTGAGAGTTTCAACATGTTTCAACATGTTTCAACATGTTTCAACCAGAGCAATTTAAGTATAACGATATGATACGATATGAAAGCCAAGGCGCGCTCAGTTTGGAGTTCTTTAGATAGACTGTCTGGTATGAAGGGACAAGTTGCAACAGCTTGAATCCATATCCAACCCTTTTAGTCCAGAAAGAGACATGCTAGCAAATGATGTTCAAGTCTTTTTGACAATTACAAGGAGTCAAAAACTCGACAATGGACATGGGCCTTCATTTGTGGTTAAGTCGATGCGTGGCTTCGACAGGTCGTCCGAGAGTGCACGGACCCGGTATGTTTTGTTTTATGGCTGCTTGCGATTTGTGCGGTGGTCACTGTGATCTTGTTTGGGACTTACAAGCCGGAACGCCATGACTTCATGCGATTGACCAATGCACGGGGAGTGCAGTGCGGTGTTTACGATCAGAGTGGGAAGGACCAAGTCACATCTGTCCAAATTATCAGGGTGCGATGGGCTGTTGGCTCCGTAAATGGTTTGCTGTGTAGCTCCCCCAAGAAGCTCCCCTAAGGTCACCCAAGTTGCTCCTCTAAGCATCCCCTAAGTGCCTGGAAACTCTTGAGGACTTCTGGTACCTCTGTGGAGCAGATGCTTGGCACAAATTTTCGTGGGAGGTTTGAGGAGGTGACCTTTCCAAGAAAGCAGTATATGCTGCAGGTATTTCTCATCATTTCCCTGTCTTGCCTTCAGGATATGCTGAACGACACCTTTCTACCCACGTGCGTTTCAGCTTGCTCCATGGATCACAGCAAGAACCATTGTTCCACCCAGTGGAAGCTCTTGGAGGTCGCATCGCACACTGCGTATTGCTGTGTTGGTTTCTTCAAAGACTCAGTTTTCCAGAAGCACTTGTGGAAATGTGTCAAAATGATGACCAAATGGTCAAGTGTAAATTTCGTAAATTGGATACTAAACAGCAATGTTCCAGGTCCATTAGACTTCACAATTGTGGTCCCATCTGTATCTCCAGGGCCAAACGGTTTGCCTGGCAGGTGTCCACCTATGAAGCCCACCAAGTTGGTCCATTGTGTTGGCCAACTGATGAAACCTTGGCTGCGCATCTCAGATTTGTTCTGCAAGCGCGAGGTTTTCGATCCATTGATATGTTTCTTGCCTTCTATCATTTGTGCATATTTGGATCGTGGATATGTATGGATATGTATCTTACATCCCTTTGCCTCGTTTTTTGTTTCTAAGATATGAATGACACGAAGATGTTATAACATGTTTCAGATTGCTGTCGCATGTCATTATGCTAACTTTGAGGGATGGCTGCAAACTATATGGACGACTGGACGACCACCAGGTAATGTCACCAATTTCTGATTCAAATGTATGCATCATTGACTGTATGTAATAATCATTTGTTTCTTCTTGTCAACGCATTGCAGTTTAAGGTTTTTATCGGTGTACTTTGCTTGGCCACCTCTTGCAATTGCAGCGCTGTGTGCGATCACATTTTCGCACATGTGGACTCGTATCTTGCGGGACCATGCACATTGCTTGGCATGGCTGGGTATCTACATTCTCGTGACGCTTCCTTTGCTTTGCCTGGCCTTCCGTTGGTTATGGTATGGGCAAGTGGACAGCACCGCAGCTGCAGCCGATAACAAGGGCAGTTTATATATAGAATAGAACTGGGAATTTAATGGGAATTTAAGCAACAAGAATAGGGATGTAATGGGATTTATGACAACCTCACTGCGACGATGTCACTGGAACGATGGTTACGATTGGTACGTATTCATGGCCTCAATTATTTAATTGAAGTTGGTGAATTCCCAAAATTTATCCAGATACAGAACTTGACATTAGGACATGCAGTATATTATAGCTTTTCTTGATGTCAGTTGACAACATCGATTTAGCCTGACAGTTCAACATTATGACTTATGAATTATAATTTATAAGTGATCTTCACTGCTCAATGGGTTGCTTTAGGTTTCATTTCCACGGACTGAAGCAGATTTTGTTTCTTATCCTGTGGGATCCGGTGGCACCACACCATTTTCCACAATCACATGCCATACATGCAATGGAACGCCTGGGAGCAGGCATCAATGAGCAGAAATATGAATCTGAATCGATCCAAATGAGACAGATTGTGGTTGGGACTCCGCAGAAAAAGGCATTTATCTGTCTCGTTCTGCTGCTGAGGACTTACTGCAATTGGCAGTATTTTCGCTGCAGCATCCTTCGCATTATTGGCCTGTCGAACCGAGAAGCACTTGGATCGGGCCACAAGCTGTTTGCATTGTGCGTGTCACTGCGTCCGGTCCTTTGTTGATTGAAGCTTGGAGGTTTCGTATCCCACAGTCGCGCCTCATGACTTTCATGACATGCCCAAGCGGTTGTACTGGGGACTGACACGACTTAGGTCACTGACATACCTATTCTTGAGATTGGCGCTGCTATTACTACGATGATGAAGCTGGCACTGCTACTGGCTTCCATATATCTGGTGAGATTTGTTCCTACTACATTGCATTTTGAAATCCGAACTGGCAAATTAGATTTCCTTTTCTACGAAAGCACAGCTGAGAAGATTGCTGACATCTCTGCAGCAGTATTGAATCTTGGTGGAATTCCTCGAAACAGCCTTCATGGTGACAGGTGCTAAATCCTTAGTTTTTCATGCTTTTCACGAAGATTTTGTGTGAACCGTGAGATTTTTTCAATGGCCTCCAAGATCCATGGTGAGATCAGTCCAGCTTTTGTATTCCTCCAAGGATTGCAAAGTCACAGTGTCCAATCTTAGGGCAAAATAGGGCAGAAATCTTGCATTGATTTTCTGTCACCTCGAGGTACTGCATTTTTGTGCTCTGGAGTTGGAATGTCATCAACGCCTTCTGGGAACTGATTATTGTTGCTCTCACAGTGCTTTGGTATGTGGATCGCAAAGACAATTTGGAGCCGCCAGGAATCTTCAGATGTATGGAGGTTGGATTCCCTGTATTTCCACAATTATACATGTTTGATAACGTTTGAAGAACATCTCCAGGTGCGATCCACCTTTGAACATGACTACGTGATACCACGTAATACCACGTGATACCACGTGATTCTTTGATGTCCACTTCTGCTGAAAATGTTCTGCATGCATCTGTAGACGAAATGCTAGACTCTGTGGCATTGGCATTGATTGGTGCTCTCTCATCCAATTCTTTCGGCTTCGTTCTGGATTTGGGATGATTCACCCCAGTTGATATGATATATAGATAGATACTTTGTTGGGGTGGCTCAACCACCAACACAAGTCGAAATTTTGCGAAGGTCCTTGGTGTGTTGTTGCGCTTCCATAGTGGTTCCATTGCGCTGGCGGCGATCTTGATCGGTTTCCTGCGGCCTTTCCGCTTTGTGCTAGGGACTCTCACAGCTGTGACGCGGATGCCACAGAATCCCTTCAGTTTCATGCAGATGCTGAACTGAAGATGGCCATGACCCAATGGACCCAATGGACCCAATGGACCCAATGGACCCAATGGACCCAATGGACCCAATGGACCCTATGGACCCTATGGACCCTATGGACCCTATGGACCCAATGGACCCTTTTTTTGTTTGGTGGGGAGGAAAGCATCTGGGATGTTGCTTCTTTTTGCATAACTGCAACAGTGGCTTGACCTCGTGTGCTTTGCCATGTAAATAAAATCGGTCTACAGAACTGCCAGGGGGTCCTCCGGGGAACATATGGAAAAATGCCGATTCATCAGTGGATTTAGGGGTTCTTCCCTAAATATTTAGACAACCCCAGTGTTTCTTTTAAGGATGTCTTGCTGTCCCTGCATCGTGGATTGCTACGCCATGTTCTTGGATCAATTTTCGGCGAACGCCTTTGTGGACGTGGTGCTGCATGGTTCGCCCTTGTGGCCTGCCATGCAGAATGCTGATGTGGTGATGGAAAGGTGCCAGACCACGGCCAACTCACTGAAGCTTGCCATTCTCAAATCAGAACGGAGAATACATTCTATTTTGATCCATTTTGACCTTTTGATCTATGAAAAAACATTTTTTTTTTGAACATCTAGTTTGATATGTCTTTGTATACTTTGGTATACTTTGATGTATCTGTATAATATATATGTCTACTATATACTATATATACACATGTATTTCAAGGCTTACGCCTGACAGCCGGGCGCCGGCCAAGCAATCTAGGCACCATGTTGGCCCTATGTTGGGCCAGTGTTGGTGTTGGTGTTGTTGTTGTTGTGGTGGTGGTGGTGGTCGTTGTCCTTGTTGTCCTTGTTGTCCTTGTTGTCCTTGTCGTCGTCGTCGTCGTGGTGGTGGTGGTGGTTGTTGTTGTTGTTGTTGGTTGTTGGTTGTTGGTTGTTGGTTGTTGGTTGTTGGTTGTTGGTTGTTGGTTGTTTGTTGTTTGTTGTTTGTTGTTTGTTGGTTGTTGGTTGTTGGTTGTTGGTTGTTGGTTGTTTTTGTTGTTTGTTGTTTGTTGTTTGTTGTTTGTTGGTTGTTGGTTGTTGGTTGTTGGTTGTTTTTGTTGTTTGTTGTTTGTTGTTTGTTGTTTTTTTTTGTTTTTTTTTTTGTTGTTGTGGTGGTGGTGGTGGTGGTGCACGGCGGAGGTCTATGTTGGCGCAGCAAGGTTGGGCCGTCTTGAGGCTATGTTGGGCCCATCTAGAGGCCAGGTTGCAGCTATGTTGGGCCATCTTGAACGATGGTGGGGCTATGATGGCCCATCTTGGGCAGTCTTGGGCCCCATGTTGGGGCCCTTGGGTCCATGTTGGGCCAGGTTGGGCCCATCTTGGGCCCAGGTTGGGCCTATGTTGGCCTATGTTGGCTCTATGTTGGCCCTATGTTGGCTTATGTTAGCCCTATCTTGGCCCATGTTGGCCCTGTCTTGGCCCTATGTTGGCGGCCCCATGTTGGCCCATCTTGGGGCCTATGTTGAAGCTATGTTGGCGATATGTGAGACCATTTGTGTTGAAAGACCTCCAAGATGCCAATTTTTCCTTCCCGGACCTCTCCGCGGAACCAAAAACGAGGTAAAAACCACGGTTTTTTACTTTCGCCGACCAAAAAATTGGGATAGGCCGAGGCTACGAAACACCGTTAACAACGATGTTTTTGTGACCTCACACACACACACGAAACACCATAAATTATAGGTCCTTCAGTTGACACGGGTGGTTCGGGGGGTGGGTCGGCGGCAGGGGGTGCAGCGCCTGCAACCTTCAGTTGCCAACCGAAGGCCTCCGGCAAGGACACGGGCTCCGTGGCCGGCGCCCGGATTTAAAGGTTTACGCCTGACAGCCGGGCGCCGGCCAAGCAACGACTTTTGGCTTATGGTGTGGGAAGATTGGGCCGATAGGGAATATGATCGGGGACATGGGACTGACCCATAGTAGCAAGAATCATCCCATTCCACTATTCCGTACTAAGCACCGGGAAGCAAACGGGCCGCGGGGGCAAAGGGACAGGCTATTTGCCAGGTCGAAGCCTATCCGGCGAAGGGAATTTTAACTTGAGTGGCTTAATGGTAGTTTCATGGGGCAGGTAGGCGCTTTGATCCCTGCAAATAAGTGAAACACGGGGTGGAAATGTGCACCAAAAGGAACATTTTGCATCCTGCATGAAGCTGTCAGGGTTTTACCCACCATTACAGATCTGTGCAGTCGTTGGCTCAGAAGGTTCTAGCTCTGATCTCCTCCCTTGGCTTCGCGATCGGGGTGACCTTTGGGGCCGCTGGTCAGCCCACATGGCCCACAAGCGCTTTGAAGACTACCTCACTTGCCCCGCTGAGGCCATCGGACGCCTTGGCTCAATGCTTGGGGAAGGATGCTATGGACGCGTCTACAAACTCTACCGTGCCTCAGGCAACAATGCAAACCTCACACTTTCACATCCTACAAGTTGTGTTTTCATTGAGGGGCACAGAGGGGCCTGAAGGTGACGGACGTTAGAAGATGAAGTCATCAACAATCTGAAGGCAAGCGCATCAGGTGATGTGGTACTGTGATGAATTGTGCCAGAGGCACATGGCAAACGATGTTATGTGCAACGGGGGCCCGCTGCAAAGGTAACGGAGAAGCGCTGGCCGTCAAGATGCCCAAGAAGGATGGGCCGATGGCCGCGCAAAGTGTGCAGATTTTGCTGCAAGAATGTTACCGGGCCTCCAACTTAAGTACCTTGGCAACAAGATGCAGGATCCGCCAGATGACTTTCATAGCATGCCGGTTGGTTCCATGTGGAGCTTTTGGGCATGCCTTGATGTTTGCGGCGCTGATTCCCGAACTTTTAACTCTTTGTGCTGCCCCGCGAGAGATCCAAGGTCACTCCAACATCGTGAAGGCCTTGGGAGTGCTCGGCACTATGACCTTGTGGCAGCTGGCCTGAAGGCTTGCCCTGGGAGCAAGCCCAGCGCATCTTGCCGCTGCCGGCCAAGTGCCAGGCGGGGGACGTCCAACAGGTCAAAGTGCCAATTGTGTTCAATGGGCCGCCAGGAATATGATCAACCTCAGTCACTTCCATGAATGGAAGCTCAAATCCAACCAGAAAGCAGCTCCAAAGACCCTTTAGGACAACAAGTCAGCGTCAGCACATCTGCGCGATACAATCTTTATGAACAACATGCATTTATTCAATGCGAATTTCCTTACCATGCCCACATGTAAAAGCGACATGCTGTGGAAAAGTCCTAAAGTGCATCGGTGCAGTTAAAGACATTTAACGACGAAGCAAATATAAGTTCAAAGGTAAATAGGTGGCACTGGTGGGGCTGCCTTTGGCCCATCTTTTGTGAATTCGCGCCGTTTCTGGCAGGTTGCCAGGCAGTTTGCATCTGTCGGGGAGTACCTGACGAAGATGACCCACGTAATGTGGGATATCCACGAGGCAGACGTCCTCGTGGAGCCAAGTGCACCGCACTTGATGCTCCTTGACTGCTACATGGAGCCAAACGAGACGCTTGGCAGCAACCATACCAGCAATCGCTCAAGAACATTTGTGTTTTTTTGGTTGCAGTGTTCCACATGTGATGTTTGAGTTGCATAGGCAGTGCGGACAGAGCTGGTGTAGTCTCCAAGGAACGCAGGGTGCCCCTACACCTTGCCACCAATGCTTCGTGAAGTCGGAGGGCCTGAGATTCTCCGCGCAAACCCGGGGAGGGCTATGTTGAACTGAGGCAGGCATAATGCGCAGTGCTTGCCTGTATGGAAGCAGTTTGGGCCTATGTTGGGCCATCTCGGGCCCAGGTAGAGCCATGTTGCGCCCATCTTAGGCTTATGTTGCGCCAAGTCGGGCCCATGTTTTGCCATCGGGCCCATCTTAGGCCAATATTGGCCCAGGTTGGGCCTATGTTGGGCTCATCTTGGGCCCATGTTGGGCCTATGTTGGGCCCATGTTGGCCTATGTTGGGCCTATGTTGGCCCATGTTGAGACATCTTGGGAGCTATGTTGGGGCCATCTATGTTGAACCGATCTTAAGATGCCAATTTTTGCGCCCCGGGCCCCCGCCTGGAGCCCAAATCCACGTAAAAACCGAGGTCTTGCAACATGGCCAAAATGAAATCCCTTGCCGCCGAAGGGCCCGAAACACCATAAAAAAACGATGTTTTTTAACACCGCAAGCAAAATACACCGTTGGGTTCCAACCTCCATGCATGACAGCCATAGGAACAAGAAGAAAGAAAATCAATTGCCGATTCTCATACCTGGATTTTTTGGGTACCTGCTGTGTCCTGAAGTCTAGTGGCAAAATCCCCAACCTGCAATTTGAGGATAATGAGAAATGCTTGGATTTTGGGATGCCTTATTTTCAGTGGCTCTATATCCGGCAGCTGAGTGACATGGGACTTTTGCATTTCCAATCCACCTGCAGCTAAGGCAACAGTGGAAAATCATCAGAACATGTGTCGCTACACTCGCTAGACTCGCTACGCAATGATATAATGGAGATGTCAAGTTGCCCGGTCACAAGAACCAAAGAACCATGTAGTGTTTCTTGATGAATCCAGCTATAATGAGCCACTGAGCCACTGAGCCACTGCGCACCTGTTGCAGTGAAAGTCATGTTGCCAACGTCGCTTTCTGAACGGACAAGAAACTAGCTCCCAAAAACTTGCTACTTGCTCGTTTCGAAGCTGCCCTCGCAAAGCCTTAGCTCCCTGCTGATGAAGGGCGGAACCGGCCCGCGCCTTCCAGCCTACGGTGCCCGTCCGCTTTCTTCGCCTTCCTTGTTTCTATTGCTGCCACCTTGCTCGCTTGCTCTTGCTTTTTGCTTTCTTCGTTTCTCTGCTTCCCTCTCTGGCTTTGGCCCGCGGCCTGCAGCTTACAGTGCCTAACGTCGCTTTCTGAACGGACAAGAAACTAGCTCCCAAAAGCTTGCTATTTGCTAGTTTCGGGGCTGTCCCGGCAGAGCCTTAGCCCCATGCAGCTGAAGGACGGAACCGGCCTTCTTTCGTCTTCCTTGTTTCTATTGCTGCCACCTTGCTCGCTTGCTCTTGCTCCTTGCTTTCTTCCTTCTCTGCCTCCCTCTCTCTGGCTCTTGCTGTTTGCTCTCATTATTTCTTGCCCCTGGCTGATTGCAATGTCTTCTCTGACGCGCTCCCCCTTGCCGTCGGCGGATATGTGCACATATAATACAACGTAATAATGATAATAATAATAAAAATAACAATAGCAATAATAATAGTAAGTAATAATAATAAATATATTTACACATGCACATACAGATGTATATATATATATAGACATATATATATATATATACAGACATGAACATTTCAGGAAACATCAAAATTTGCCATGAATGTATGAACATGCAAAAAGATTTCAAGAATCCACTAAATTTCCGTGATGTTTCTCAAAGGTCCTCCTACTTGATATCTGCCAGCACCCCTCCTCTGCTTGATGTCTGGCGGTGGGTCAACCCCCTGGTGAAGCCCTGGTCACATTAAGATTGCTGGATGTATAGTTGGATGTTCATCCCCCCAGCTCAAGTATCATCTTAAACCTTAAGCCTGTTAAACCATTTATAGCCATCTCCATTTCTTCAATTTCTTCCTCGACTCTTCGTCTTGTTTCAAGTGTGGCCACCAGGAATGGGACAACCTTCATCTTTCAGGTGATCTGCTTAGCCCTCACTTGGTAGTTTGGCTTTGTGATCAGTTATGTGGCCATCACACAGATTCCAGAATACAGCGATCCCAAAAGCATGAACTACGTCCCCTACACCATGTGTTGGTGTGTGGTTAGTGGCTGCCTTGCCCTTGGCTGCTCCTTTCCCCACATGATGGTTTTCGATACATCCTCAGATACCATTCTGTATCTTCAAACTCTGAGAGAAATGCGAGAGGAAGAGGCTGAGAGGGAACTTCGACAACTTGCAGCTGGTCCCGCCTCGAGTGTGATTAATATATTGCAGGACATGGCAAGCTCTGCTGTGAGATGTGCTTTCCCAGGTCCCTGAGATTCTGAATTCATTTCTAGCTGAATAATGCTGAATAGATCACTGAATAGATATCACTGATATCAATGGATATCAATGGACAAATAGACGCTGAAGCGACCAATTCGTTTCACATCTCTAGACATCAGCCAGCTCAACGGCTTGGCAACACAATGCCTGCGGCGAACCGTGCTTTCAAAGTGTGTGGCACCTTCGACAGCAACAAAATCGACGATTGGGGTTTTCACTCAAGTTTCTGATAGGTTGTATGTTTCTACAGTATGTATATACAGTCCACTGACCACTCTTTTGTAGCACGATGCAGGCTCATGAACGCACGGCAGTTCACAGAGCGCATCGGACAGGATTACGCCGCAAAGTACTGTAGGCGATCCGAATTTGAGCCAGCCGCGTCATTCGACACAATGAGGTTGAGAGGAAAAACATGTTATAATCAATCATACATCACATATCCTATATCAAATATACCTCATTCATGTATATGTATACACTGTATATATGATATATACTTCAGTGGCTCAAAGACGATTTGTTGAAGGTCATGAGTCATGAGTCATGAGTCAAATAAAATCGGATGAAAACTGCACATTGACCTCAACAAGAGAAGCGACATACTCATTATAAAACCCTTACGGAATATAGCAAATCATGGAAGCTGACGACACTAGGGTAAGATCTGTTAAACACAGAACATCAACCATGAAGCTGGCTGACGTGGCTGGTATGACTGACATGGCTGCTCCGAAACAAGTGGAAGACGACCAACAATTTCGGGAACCAGGAGTTTTTCAATGTAGCAAGGGTATCCATGGAGTATCGCTTCCTCTCCTTCAACGCTTCCAGGACCCGACTTGAGCCGTGCCCAATTAAAGCTGCTGAGAGGAGGAGTCTGCACACTGAGATTCGGGATGGGGGGTCAGAAACACGTAGTCATCACTTTACATAACTGGTTGGAAAGGTGAGAGCAGAGGATGCATACATACTGTATGAATCTGGCGATTTTGGCTCGCCTTCTGCTGCTGTCATCAAGAGTGGCTCCGATCTGCTACAAGTTTTCGATTTTCTGAACTATCTGACCTTCATGCTTCGGGTGCTTGTGGTTGTGAACAGTTTCAGGCTGGAATCTACTTTTTCTTCATTTGGTATGGACGGTCGCTTGGAGAAAAGTTTACACGGCAAGGAGCATGTGTCGCAAGATTTCTCTCAACCTGGGCTCAGGTTGCAAGAACAGATCTTCAAGTACAAGTCGCCTTCCGGAGCGAAGCTTCTCGAACCAAAGATTCAGGATGTCAAACCAAGCTAACAAGTTCCAATGTCCAAGACGGCTACATCAAGCTTCACAAAACCTAGTTTCATCAGATTTGCCACGATTTGCCTCTGCTTCCCAACTATGGTTCTTGCGGTGTATCGAGGTTCACTTCGGTCTGGTTTCTGCAATTTCTTGATGCATTAGCCAATGTGGCGGTGGGCTGCTCGCCTGCAAGTGCCAATGTCCGTTCAGTATCAAAGCGGCGGTAGGTCGCTCCAATTTTGTTCCGCAATTTAGCATCCCTACAGTGACAACATTACTAGATGATTCGACATGGAAGTCTGCATTCACCGCATTTGCCAGCTTGTTTTGTGCTGCAGCTGTTCGCTGTGTGTGTGGATTTGGCTCCAAGACCACTCTGGGGTCAAGCAACCAGATATCTCAACGAAGCGGGTGTTGAAGAGTATTCAAGACCCATGGCGAGGCTGGTGTTCAGCATTCTTCTTAGTCTGCCCGTGTTGACCTTCACAGCAAAGACCCACATCACCGTGAAGACTGTGAAGGAAGAGTTGAATATTCAAAATGTGGAGCACCCCAGTGATGGAGTGATTGTGCGGATCATCGATCCTCCGCAAGATGAGCACGAGGAAGAACAGCACGAGGAAGAACAGGGGGAACAGGGGGAACAGGGGGAACACGGACAGGAAGAAGCCGCTCACGCTGGAGAGCACGGTGTCGAGCATGGATCCCATGGAGACGCCGAGCACCATGGGGATGCGGCACATGGCGAGCATGGCGAGCACGGAGAGCATGGAGAGCATGGAGAGCATGCTGAGGGACACGGGCATGAAGGCTGGGAGTGGAACATCCAAACAAGAAGCAGAAAATCAAGATGCATAGGATATCATAGGATATCATAGGATATCATAGGATATCATAGGATTACTGGATATTTATTGTGAACAGTCGTGATAATCATAAGTCCATCATTGTTAATGCAGGTCATGGCCACGAATCCCATGGCCATGGACACCATGCCCCTGATGATAAGACCTTGACGGCTTCCTATATGCTGATTGGTGGTGTCACTTTGGTCATGGCCATGTTCTACTTGGTGCAGCATCCGGAGCCGTGGTTTTTCAGATTTTTCATGGTTTTTGGAATTTTCCATAGGGGTATCCAGAAAATCCACAAATGGCTGGTGATTTCTTCAGGATCACACAGCATTCATGGATTCTAGCACAGTTGGAGTTTGGTAACGTTGCTGGTTTCCAAAACACTGGCATTGTTGCTGGTCAAGGTTGAACCACTCCCAAACACCGAACTTCTAGAAATTCTTTGTATCATTGGAATCTGATATTCTGCTACTGATCCTGTACGAATGGCGCCTCCAGCACTTAACATGTCAGACGTTGCTGTCTCAGGACCTGGACATTCGCTACTACAGCTGGAACATTCTCACACTGTCCGCCTGCATTTTCATTGCAGTCTTGGCCTCTGATGTGGTGAACCAGATGGCCAAACGATTCCTCTTCAGTGGCATTCATGTGGCCGGCTGGGGAACTGTTACTTGCACTTGCTTAGCTGGTGAAAACCTCAAAGATGAACCGAATAGACAACGTATGGAAATGCGACTAGGAAATGCTGGGGAAATTCGGGATCTTCAGTTACCCGTTGAAATCCAAGTGTTTTGTTCAAAACGGTCTTCTTTATCCTGACCAGAACGCGTCCAGTTTCGGTGTCACTCCGATGAATCCAGCCTGCAGGTTATGGTTGACATTTCGCTGGCAGTGATGTGGTTCTTGCTGTCTCAGCTAGTGACTGCCGCTTTGTCTGGTGCGTTTGGCGAGGAAGCAAAGGAACCCAAGGAGAGCAGCAACCATGCCAGCTTTCACTGTGAGTGTCCAGGAACTACAAGATGACAACACATGACCAACATGTACCATCATATTATCTGCATCATCGCACATCTTAGAAGATCTTAGATCTTATACATATATACATCTTATATCATCTTGTATATCATATACATGCAGTAGGTCTGCGAAACTTCAATCAAATTTTGCAGCAAAAAGGACGCCAGCAGTGAAGAAGAACGTCAAGAACTGGAGGAGCTCTGGGATCAGCGCGAGACCGCCATGCGCCTCACTGCAACAAGTGGAGGTTTCCATAGTCACGGCGGTACCGGATGGTTTATTTCATGGAAAATCCATCTATAAACGGATGATTTAGGGGTACCTCCATTTTAGGAAACCTCCAAATCTTGAAGAATGGAATCACATGCTTGGCCGAAATTGCGTTCAGAAAGCGCGTTGGAATGCCAGACTGGCGCATCTCTGAAGCTGCCAAATGCACAGTCGGAATCTTCGACTTTCCTTCACACAGGTCATACCGACTTTCAGAAACACGTGATCAGCTTTTCAGTGCCATCTCCATATGACATATGTGTTAATAGCTCCACTCTAAATTGGGCTACCCGTGGATCCAGAAAAATTGCTCCTTGTTGGTATCAAACCATGCCTGTTGGGCCCAGGAAATGCTGGGGAGGTCTGGTGGCACACTGCGCTGGCTTCGCCATCGTTGCCACTTTGGCTTCTTTGCAGGAGCTGGGCAATAGCAGTCAAGGAGGTCCTAAAAAAATGTACGGTGTATCCCTGTAGAGTGGTTGGTTTCATCCCAGATTATCTCCTTCAAGTGGTTAGCGAACTGGTCAGTGTGTCAAAGGTTATGTTTTATTTTATACCCAGGATGGCCCAGGATGTTTAATCAAGAACTGCAAGGATTCGGCCAGGACTCCTGCTAGGATCTTCCAGGAACTGCTGTTCTTGACAATTCTCAGGATCTGATTTGCTTCTCATGTGATTCTATTGTCATTTGGAGGACACTGAGCCCTTCAACAAATCCCCTGGTATGTCGCTTCTAGTTGTTCCAGGCCAGGACTTGTCTTGTGGAGACTTTTTTTTTGGAGTCGATGAGTTGATGTTTTTCCGTGGCTTTCCTCCGACCAGGCGCCCTGCTGCTGGTCACCATCCTGTACCGTGCAGCGGCCTTTACCCGAAAGAAGATCAGCGAGATGGACGATGGCGTCGTGAGCCGCGGGGAAGCCCTTTGGGATGAGATCTCTGAAGAGGAGCTACAAGTGGAGCTTATGGGGTCGCCATGGGTAGCTGGGATATTTTGGGGAGTCTGAAACCCCCAAGTGATGGCTATTTCGATAGTAAAAATATGTAAAAATGATGATAAACCAAGTGATCCAAGTGGATTGAGGTCCCAGTACCATATTTTTTCTGTCAACCACCTGTGAAATTGGGGAAAACTGTTTGTTGTGTTGCTCATGAACATGATTCTTTGGATTTCTCATTGATCCATTGCCACAGGCCGAAAACGAGTCCTTGTGCTTGGGCCTGTCCTTTGCCGCGATCAGAAGCATCAGCTTCTTCGCCATTGGGGCTATGCCGGACACCCACTTTCACGTCTATGGTGAGGTGGAAAACGCTGATTGGCATCGCGGATGGATGGTGCCTCGATTCACGGGATGGTGCCACATGGCCTTGGTTTGCACTATCAGTTGTTGTGAAGTTGCGAATTTTGCATTTGGTTCCGTTGAAACTGCCATCTAGCAAAATGGTTCGCGTCACGTGCGCACCAAACAAGGAAGTTTTGTTTTGGAATCTTCCCTTTGCCCCACTCGACTCGGCCAAGGTGCTTGCTGCAGTGTCCTTGTGCAGCATGGTGCTTGGCGTTTTGACCCTCAAGCTGAAGGAATCGATGTTTGGCGGACATGGACATGGTCATGCCCACTCGGATGAGCATGGGCTCGGTCATGAGGAAGTGGCACATGACGAATCTCAACTTGGCTGCGATACCCTCTGGTAAACTAATATAGCTATGGAAAATGGCCCATTTATATATATATATATTTAATATATATATATAGTTGATTTACCTATCAATTTTCCATAGCTATGTTAGTTTACTGGAGGGTATCTTATAATGGTCTTCTTCAAGATCATTTGATTTTGTTTGCCACAGAAGTGATGATTTGTTTGGATCCTAGAGGTATATTTTCTTTTGTCAGATGTCATACTGAGGAAGATGACATTCGCCTGCGCGCGTTGCTGATCCTTTCTGAGACTTTCATCATGAGCCTCAGCTGCAAAGCAGAAATGCATACGGCATTCCAAAGGTAACATCATTGCAAAGGCACATTTGCGACCAGGGAGAAAAGATGGGCCAGCTTCGACCCGAAGATAGACTGATTTGTGCAGCCTTTGAGTCGAGCTGTGGGAACTCCCGAGTTGTAGACTGGGATGGATAAAAACACCCAGCTCATCACCGGACCTGCAGCATTGAGTCCACACTTCAATTCATTTGAAAAAAGGACAAGAGATCTTCTTCTGTTTTTTTTGGGTCCCGCTTCGGTCAAACTGAAGATTTATCCAATCATTCAATCCGTGTTTAGAAAGTTTCGATGTGCGCGAGCTCAGGAGCTTTAGCTGGGGGATGCTCTCCAGTGCCATTGCCATGCTGAATGCCTTCCTGCCACATTTGGAGCATCACCTCATTGGACACCTCATCGTGGCCCTGGTCGTTTCAGCTCTGTCCTGCTTGATGCTGGTCTCCCTGGACAAGGTCGACCGATCAAATGTGCTGCCGACCAAAAAAAAAGGGGCTTACTTAGTGTAAATCTTGGGAATGCCCAACAGATACTTGCGAAAAAAAGGCAACAGATTCTTATTCTTGAGATGTATTTGTTTGACCTGTACATGGTTAATATCTTGAGCGTTTGGAAGAGAAATCCATGCCAGTGGAGAGTATAGACTTCTAAAACATCCACATCCATTGGGCTTTTGTTGTGCCTTCACTTTTTCGCAGGTGGCAGATACCTTGAAGGCAGGTGGCGACTCAGAGTCCGCAGTTCACATCATCCAGCACATCATCTTGGCTCACGGCCTGCTCATCGGTATCAGCTGGGAGGTGGGTTGAACGGATGGTGTTTGAGTCCCTGTGGATTAGGAGGTCATGTAGGTTCTGAATGTACCAACCTTGGGGAAGCATGGCAGCCAGTGCTCAGGTGTGCTTCGCCTTGGGAATGCACGCCATCGCACATGTTACGGAGGGACCCAACGTGGATGTCTACCTGGCGGTTTTCCTTTGCCTGGTGGTGGTGCCAGCCTATCGTCTCTTCATGTTGCCAGAGCTGAAACTACGGGAAGCCAAGACGAAATGCCATTGAACTCATCGAGGAGTTTAGCTGAGGGCAACAGCGGTATGCGCTGCGAGGTGAAGAATCTCATGTTTTTTTTCACACCAACACATGGATTTCATGATGCAACTCCCTTTTTTTTGCAAAGTCTCGACCTCGCAGTCAATTTCTCAGCACGTCTATAGTGAAGATTTGCTGGACCTCGCCACTGATTTGGAACAAAGCTGCAGGCGTATCATAGTTCTCACTTTTTCCTTTGAAATCTCTTGGAATCCTTTGAAATCCTTTTCAATGGCTGTCCCTTCCAAGAGAGAAGTGCACCCCGACGCAGCTTTCGACTTCAAACACCGAGGTGCTTTGGGCCGTTGCCTCGAAGGTAGTACTCCACTTCCACAGGCGAACTTGGGATGCCAATGGACACACTGGCTGGGTCAATTCCAGTTTGAAACCGTCCATTTTTGGGAAGTAATTTCAATTTTGACCCATAACCATTTGGGTTTCTCTGAAATGGGGCCTTGATTTGTGCGGATCATCATTTTGCCGCAGATTCTTCCCATCTAAACTGACAATATCTTGGGGATGTTGTTGGGCGCTCGATCCATAATATCTACCCGCCATTGGGTATTTACCCCAAAATTGATGGTTATCCCCTGTCGACTTTGCAAAGCCCTGGGAACATCTCAAACCAACCTGCTTTGCCGCAAGAAACACTCCTTTTCTCCCAAAGAAATGCAACAAATGAGGAATTCGACGGGACAGCGGGGTCGCCCAGTCGCGGCAGTCGCGAGGCCTTTCTGCTGTGTTGTGGCTTTGGACAGGTGCTGTCGTGGCTTGGCTTTGGATGGCTGGATGGCACATGATGTCAATTGATGTCATCCTGGGTACCCTCTGGTAAACTAACATAGCTATTGAAAATGGCCATTTATAGTGGATTTACCCATTAAAAATGGTGATTTTCCATAGCTATGTTAGTTTACCAGAGGGTAGTTGAACATCATTTTCCCATATTTTCCCCATTGGTCAGTGGCAGGTTTTACATGGTTTTACCGTGTATCCATTTCAGGGATCATCAACACCACGGATCATCGCACTGTCCGGCAGGAAGTACAGCACGAGTGCATCCTTGTCTGTCGGTCTTTCCTTTTCCGTGGCGACCATGGCGAAATCTGCCAAGATGGTTCCTGTGATGCTGCTTGGTTGAGAGCTAAAGTCTCGGGTGGATTTTACATATTTGTCCACAGTGACCTTCAGAGAGTTCTTTTTTATTCTTTTTTCTTTTTAGCTTCAATGACTTTAATGACTTTAATGACTTTAATGACTTTAATGTGTATTTTTTGTAATTCGGGCCTTGCTTGGATAATTTGGATCTTTCGAGCCTGTCAATCAGACGAGGATTGGTTCGCTTTTGCTTGGATCCATAACCTTTTCCTCCACTCAAATTTGTCAAGCTGCAGCCATCGTTTTGGGCACAGGACTGCCATTGGTCAGCTCCCAAAGCCGACTCAACGACTCAAAATGAACATCCACAGGCAATTACACAATGCTCTGTGAAACGTAAAGTAGGTAAAATATGGTAAACTTGACTAAAGCGCCATGACTGAAGAGCACAGAAAATAATTGCAAACACTGCTTGGGCACCTTCACTTGTATGAAGTCACCGGTGCAAAGCGTAGGATGATTCATCAATTTTTGTTATGTTCTTTTTGTGTGAGATGGCGTGTTCAGAGCGGTTTGGGTGGGACTTGCAGGAATCGTTTCCTTCGCCGAAGGCCGAAACAAGGAGCCTGGGCAAGGGGTGTGAGTTTCGTGAAAACAATTGTCAAACCTCCAGTCACTGTCTGGGTTTGAATGTCTGAAGTCTATGCAATATACACTTGCTACTTTGCATAGTCTTGGACTTGGACAACGAATTCCAATCACTGACCGGGTAGAGTTGTGTTCAACTTTGACAGTTGCAATGTGTTGCGAGCGACGCCAGAAAAGTGGCGAGAGCACAAAGCTGGGGCTCTTTTTCATCATGAGCTCCTTATTCTGCGATGGCAACTTGACAGCTTTCAGCTTTTCACTGTTTGAGTTTGTCCAAAAGTTGGCGACAGCAAAATCCAGCAGTTTCGAATTTTCACCACAATTTCAGACCCAATTTTGGCCAGGTATAGTCAGCGGCCTTCAGCAGCGACTCAAGGACCGATGCGAGGCCGAGAAGACGAAGGCGCTCTTCAGCCATTGCATCCATCCCAAGAAATCATGGCAGATGGCCAAACTTGGTAGGTCAAAATGTCGGAGTGAGATGTTTCTGAAGTTTCTCCTTCCTTTTTTAGGAACCACACAGTTTTGGAGTACCGAAAAAAATTGACTCACATCAATGTAGCCAACAACCAGTTGATGGGACCATGGGGATATTTCATTGGATACAGCTAACCAACTTGATATGATAATGGGTGTGTCTGAAATTGGGGTATACCCCCGAAAATGGCAATAAACAAATAGGCAAATGGATGATCACCGATAATTTTTTGGGACAAACGCTGTTTCAGTGGGATACACATAAAGAACTACGGCCAATCCCTCAGAAACACATCCAGTGACCTGGCTTTCAGGTGCGATCCTATGTGCTGGCCTCACCAATCTCACCAGGTCCAGTGTACTCCATGGAAAGACTGTTGACACCGGCAGTTTTGATGCGAATTCATCAGCTTACTTGGAGACCATTTGGTTGGATTCCCTTCATGCCTAGGACCTGATGTTTTGGACCAATCTCTACATGGAGCCTTGGTTAAGAACAGTCGCTGCCATTTGCACACTTGAGTGATTGACCATGTATGATCCAATTCACCGTGGCTACCTAAAGGCAGCCGATCTTCAAATTTGAAAACCCATATCATTCTCTGCGCGATGAGGCAGTAGCATCCTTGCTATTTGCTGTGGCACGATCAGAGATGCGCGAGGCGTATGACCAAAACATGGGATCTGTTGATGGGCAGGACACTTTTGCAGCAGTACCTAACCAAGGTACCCAAAAAGCATGATTTTGAACAGCGTAAATGATGATTAACCATATTTTTTTTGTGTGTACTCTATTTTCCGACAAATCATAGCTAAGCTCCGAACATGAAAAACTATGGCAAGGTGTGCTTTGTTCCATGCTGCAGGGCGCCAGGTTCTGCCTGCAGAATCCCCTCCTGGCGCGGAAGATCTTGAAGTTTGCTTTGTGTGGTGCTTTGGGACAGGTCGGCCCCGCATGTATCGCATGTGGCATTTTTTCCAATGCCTCAAAGCTGCAATAAATGCAGTTTATGTCTGGTGATCACTGGATTTCTAAGTGCCTTTGCTTCTGAATATCCCGGTGTCCCGTGTCCTTGGCAGGCTTGCATTTTCTACACCATTGCAAACTTTGATAGAAACTCAGCAGCAGCGTGTTTCCTTTTTTCCCCCGCTGGATTTCATTACAGAAGTCTGCAGTCAGCACAAATTCGGGTCCTAAGCCTTAGCCTGAGAAATCTATACTTTTTCAATCTGCTATGGACCCCCTCTGCGAGAAGCCAAGGGCCCGGCCGCTCGCCAGGTGTGGTGTGCTCTGCTCTGACCTCCACTCGGAAGCTTCTCTCCGTCATGATCTCCGTGCTTGAAGGCAGCAGGACTCCTTGGGTGCTAGTCATGGACCATACTGGCTAGGGGATGAATATCCAGAAGCGTGACATGGCGGTGTGGATCCATGGCCAGTTCTGTTTGTCAACGATCTTAGCAGTAGCCCAGTCAAAATGACCAGATTCCATGAAATGGTTCACGGATTTGCAGTTTTTTGGCATGGCAAGGGAGGCTCTGCAGAATCCTCCTTTTTGACATGACATGGAATTGATTGCTTGGGAAGGTTCCTTTTAGTTTGAAAATTCTTTGATTGCGTTTCCACACTACAGACTGTGGGACCGGTTAATGCACCTTCAAGATCTTCAAGCATCCCAGCCGCCTTTTGAAGTAAATCACTTTAGATGAGCAAAAAAGGACGCACACATTTTGCAGTTCCTAAAAGGTGAGGGCCTTCCCTACTTCGGATGGGTCGGTGTGGTCATTGCATCCGTGGGCATTACAGGCAGGTCATGGGGGGAGGGTGGAGAGCCTGACAACTCGTATGCAAGTAGTGCTGCAGGAGCAACACCACTGACAGACATCCTCTTCAATTGTGGCAACTAGTGTGATCAATGGTACTTTGACACTTCTGAAATTGATTTGTGTCTTTCAGCAGGCGAAATTGGGTCGGACAGGCACGGCACAAAGCAACTGTGCTGAAAGTGGCGGTGGTTACTGGTAGTTGTTTTGCGACCTCTTGGCCTATGAAGGTGGTTAAAGGTGATACGATTTGGAAAGATTTGGAAAGTGGGTTTGTTCTAACTATGATTCCTTCTAACTTGGCGATTCCTGAGATCTTTCGGAGTGTTTCGAGTTTTTGCTGATTGAGATGGACTTCTTCAACGATGAGAAATTGCACTGCTGGTTGCAAAAACTTGACCCCAGCTGAGGCAACCCCTGAGGAAGCTGCCTCCCAGTGGACCCAGCATCTCGTGACGGAGCTGGTACTTCGCCTCGAGATTTCGGATCATAAATTCAACCTTTGGGCCCCTTTGGGCCGAAGGTTTGTTGAACCGCATGATGGCTGATCCAGAATTGTTTTCTGTGCCCAGTAAGTCAAAGACCGACATGCTGAGACGAGTGGTCGCTGAACATCGGCGAATTCCTCTAGCAGTGGGTCATGACACGTTTTCCAAGTGTCTTGTTGCTGGGTGGTTCAAAAAAGCTGTTGCTGCTTCGTTTTTTGGGCATCGTCGATGCATCGTTGTGCTTCTGCCACGCTTGAGAACACACATACATGCAGATTCTGCAAACAAGCTACTCGTAGATTTGATTGAAATCATGTGGGAGCTCCCTCGATCAGGGAACTAAAGAGCTTGCTTGCAGAGTCAAAGAGAGCCTCTGACGCTTCCAATGCCAATTGAAGACAGTTTCACTGGAACTGATGTTCTCATTCTTGCTCTAACAAGTCTGCACAGCGTCCATGGAATTCCAAACGAGCTGCAAGAAACTTCAAGAAACACCAGGAAATGAAGGTGTCACACACACCCCCCCACCCACCCCCCCCCACATATCTGCACATATAAAACACATATTTGGACCTGGTCTAAGCCACAGACTTGCACGAATGGCCATTTCTCTGAAAACCCATCCCGGCCTTGGCACTGGAGCATGCAATCCGTCCGTTTCTGTCGAAAATGGCACACCTCTTCTGCAGGACAAAAGCCATGTTGGCAGAATTGATCAAAGCAGTCTCTGTTCTGTTGAGATTCCGGGTGTCTTGTCATGCAGCATGTATGGCTATGCTATCACATTCAATGCTGCAGCCCTTTCTCCATCGTTTGTGTTGCATTTAGCAGCGTATTTCCAAGACTCTCAAATGGTTGCTGAATAGCAGAGCCATCTATTGGGCAGGAAACTATGGCTCCTGGGTGTCTCCCATATTTGGGCATCATGACTAAAGCATACTAAAGCCACAGCATGGAGAAACTTGATGATGTTAAAACTACATAAAACTACCCAATCATTCACCTTCGCCCATTTAGCGTATTTTTCCGTTTGGGGTGTAATAAAACCATGTAAAACCCATTGTCTTGCTGACTCATGGGGTCACGCTGTCAGGAAGCCAGCTGGAGCAGTTTGTCTGTGGCCCAGAGATGGTGATGCGCATCCTAAGAGTCATCAGATCATCGTCTGATGAAAGCAGGTAATAGCAGGTATGCAATGATTGATCTCTTTCAGACTGCGGGAAACAATCTCTGGACACAAAGACAGGTGACTTTGTCAATAGATCTACGGTCTGCATCCGAAGTATTTCCCAGGTTTCAGCGGTCTGCTCTCATCGTTGGTGCGCGAGGAGAATGGAGAGGAGGACCAATCCGCCATCTGGATGGTTCAACCACTTCTTTTTTCATCTTTTTTCCCCAATTTTGGCAGTTGGTGGTATGATGTAGTAAGATGCAGATCATCATCATTTTCTACATCGATTTTGATGTTTGAAGCCATGGGGTCTCCGAAAAGGAGGAGGCCACAAGCTCCACAGGCCGAAAGAAGCTACCGCCTCCACAGCCAGGTTTCTCAAGGAATTTGGCAGTAAAACGCCCTAAAATCCAATGGTTTGACATGGGACTGGGTCAAAACCTCCAAAGAAAAATGCATGGAATTTGGGGGATGAACATCCATTTTTATGTCAGCGACATGTTGAGGTGAAAACCAGGGGTCCATATGGTTGAGCATGATTTTCCATGTGAAACTGACGATTTTGTTGTGGGTACGATGGACAACCATATTTCATTTTCGGACTGATTCATGCAGTGTGTTTCTTCTTCACCAGGAAAGTGAAAGCACTCAGAACTCTTCTTTGGTTCTATCAGGGGTGACCGTGAAGCTATTCGCAGAAGACCTGGACAGACAACTGCTATGAATCGCAGCATGGCAGGTCGGAGAACATGTAGACCGCAGCATGTTGCCTTTTGAAGGCGACAGGTTGGTGTGTTTTTTAAGAGCACAATTTTTGGAGAGGAATTCCATCAAATCAAAGCAACAAGAACCGGAGAACCACGGAGTGAATCCTGAGACTCAATGACTTTGCAACTCGATTCATGAATTTCAACAACAGACAAATACCATATCTCTATGCATTGTGATAAACAAAGATACAAAGACAGGTGAATAAGAAATCCACCAAAGACACCAATGGCCCATTTGGCGATGCCTTTTGTTTGATTGCAACGGCAAAGGCTGTTGCATCAGACACAAAGGTCCGGAGTCTCTGGCGCATCAAATGGTGCCCATATGTGCCCATCCAATGGGCAAGAAATGAGCCAATGTGCTGCAGATGTACTTCAGAATGTTGAGGATACCTTTCGTGGCATGGATTTGCCGAAGACGTTTCCTTCACCAAGAAAGGTACAACACGTGGTCCACCATTTGAATCCGATGGATCTCTAGTTTCATAGCCATCAGCAAATCCTCGGGATGGCGCCATGGTGAAAGCGGAATGATGGAAAGGATAGACGGATCTAGGTCGGTGAATGATGGTGAATGATGGTTAATGTAACGAGATATAAATAGAATTGAATGACAAATAGACAAATAGATGGATGGATGGGTGGATGGATGGATAGATAAAGAACACAGTAACACATCCTATTTGGAGGATTTCAAAAATTACCATTCGATGGTGGAGATGATATATCCTCAGTTGGATGCATGTGATCCGAACAAAACGGCTCCACTGCCCGGTGAATGGCACCAGGGTGGTTGGCCCTCCACTGGAGAGTTATTTGTTGCTGGAGATGGTGGAACCTTTCTTGGAACTTGGGTCAATGGAAAGCTGGGCGAAGCCGAGTTCTTGTCTACCTCTGGAGGCTTCCGGAGTGGTGAGATGGCTGGTGTGATCACCTGAAGGAAAAACACCTCAGATTGGAGGTCATGATGGAAGCCGTCGCCGTGGCAGCCTCGCCCTTTTGTAGAAAATGGCAGCCTCGTTTCACCGAGTTTCACCATGAAGGCCATGAAAAGTGGAGTTTCTCTTTGTATCTGTGTGAAACTTTGCTTAGGCCCCGGTCGGGATGGATCAATGATGTGATCGCCAGAGCCATCCCGCAGGCGATGAAACTTGGGCCATGTGTGCCATGTGGACCATGTGGGCCATGTGATGTGCTTTCTGTGATAGCAACGGCACTAGCCACGGTAAGTCATGGCATGAAGCAAGGCATAGATGACGAGTGATGACTTGCGAGGCCCGCGAAGGTGAACCGATACTAGAGCTTCTGACCATGGCACAGCAAAGGCTGCGATCCATTTGCTTCACCAAAGATTTGAAGTTCATAGTTTGCCGGAACCTAGGGTATATTTAAGTTATATAAGTATATATAAGTTATATATGATGTTATATGCATCTTTCCCGAAACCGGCATGTTTAAGTTATATATCTCTTCAAACCTTGGACGCTGGCACTGTAGGCGCCTCCTTCGGGGTCAGAAAGTGAATGTGAAGTACACCACCATGGTCGAGGCTTTTGGGCTCCTGCTGGATTACTGGATCAGCAAGGGAGATGAAAGCGGTCACTTGTGATGGCTATGTCTAAGTAAGGGCGGCGTAGTTTACGCAGCGTAGAGCATAACAACAATGCGCAACAGCGGTCGAGTCTGAAAAGTGAAAGGGTTGAACCAAAAGGTGTATTGACCTTAGACCAACCCACTGCGGCAAGAAGAAAGCACAAACACAGCCGCGTACTTTCCAAATGTTTCTGCAAGAGCAGAAAAGATTTTGTGGAACCTGTCAAGAACCTGATCACAAACACGTCGATTTCAGTGACACTTTTTGATATTTGATATATCCACGGTGGAATTATATTTATACATATATGTGCATACACCCAGTATCAGATTGAATCATCTCAGAAAAGATTTGCAGTCCTGTCAATAAAATGGCAGTCGGCAAAACAAGCAAGCACAAACATGACCGTGTATTTTCCAAATGTTTCCGCAAGAGCAGAGTAGTTTTGTGGAACCTGCCAGAACTTACTTGCAAACATATCGATCTCAGTACATTTCTTGATGTCTGATATATCCAGGGTGGAATTATATTTATACATATATGTGCACGCACCCAATATCAGAGTCAATCATCTCAGAAATGTTTGCAGTCTTGCTAATCAAATGGCACTTGGGTATGTGGACAGATGAATCATGTCTATATTAACCATCAAACATGCTCATGAAATCACCACTTATGGGGATATCTACCTTTAATAGTCGAGGTACATCGAGGTACTAACCTGCAAATCGCCCCCGGCTTGTGAAATTTGATGGCGAACATTATTCTTTTTCTGCAACCATTTGGTAGAATGGGGTACCCAATTTTCAGACAAAATAGCTATGGTTTAAAATGGTTGGTCCCTTTTCTTGGATGGTCATACTAACCAAGACAATTCTTGTGGGCATTCGTACGCCAACATCGTGGTTGTGTATGCCACTATGTCCCATAATATCCCATAATATCCCATTGTATCCCTGTGATAGGCCCATTGCAGCTTTTTTTTGCAGTTATCCAGTTATCCTCCGATCCCCTTCCCGGATCATCTTAAATATCCCCCCCTGCTTGTGGGGTATTCAGGCTGTCAACTCAGAGAACTTGCAGGGGGCCTTGCGCGAGGTGCGTTTGCTCTGCGGTCTCCCTTGCTGGTTGTTTGCCGTTCACCCCAAATAGACAGTGGGATTTCAGGGGTACCCGATTTTCAGAGACATTTTATATAATTTATCAAAGGAAGTTGGGAAGCAATACTTCCGAGTTACGAATGACTTTTACTTGATGAAATTGACTATGATGAAGGGTGGTACGTGATCTAACAATACATAATCTAACAATACATAACAAAAGAATAAGAAGCTATGAAATTGACTATGATGAAGGGTGGTAGATCATGTGACAATACATAATCCAACAATACATAACAAAAGAATAAGAAGCTATGAAATTGACTCTGATGAAGGGTGGTACATCATGTAACAATACATAATCTAACAATACATAGCAAAAGAATAAGAAGCGATGAAATTGACTATGATGAAGGGTGGTAGATCACATAACAATACATAATCTAACAGTACATAACAAAAGAATAAGAAGCTATGAAATTGACTATGATGAAGGGTGGTAGATCACATAACAAAACATAATCCAACAATACATAACAAAAGAATAAGAAGCTATGAA